CCTGAGTAGCTCCATGAGTACTTCTCATTGTTTGTTCCTATAGCTTCTGTGCCAAGTAAAATTTGGAGGTTGCTTGTTTTTCTCATTGGGAGGGAGAATTGGTAAGCAACAGAACACCATCCTGTGATCACTGTTAGAAAATTGGCTACTAACGTGGGTAGTGACAGGGATGATGTGACAGCGAAAGACTAGGTCCAGTATACTATCTCCACGCGTGGGTTACTGAATGTATTGCTTCGATTCATAGACATCTATGACAGCAAGCATTTCACCAAATCGTTGTGGGCCGCGACCGACCACCCGGTTAACTTCAGGTAAGTTAAAGTCGCCTGCAATCAGTTTGAAGTCGATAGTGAGGGATCGAGCGTGGTCAAATGATGCAGCCTTCAGTCCATCATCCAGGGGTAGGGTATCACGTATGTCATAAACGATGGCCTGTTGGGACGACGACAGTCTCTTCATTACCTCCGTTGCCAAGTGGTCTATTAAGTTTTCTGCTTTCGCCACACGGTCTTCAACTAAATTCGCATGCTCCCCTAGAAGATATGCTAGTGGATGGAAATCCTCAACTATTCTCCGAATCTCTTCCATCATGGTCTTAATGTTATCGATTTGTTTCCTGTGGTCGTTGATACTGCCACTCATGACTGATATGATGTCTTCAGTTCTAACAAAAGGCGTGGGGCATACCATTTCATCGAGGTCTGAGGTACTCGGAGTAACAATGCTTCTGTCACACAAAAGAGCACTGGAATGACCAAGTCTTTGCATTTTCTCACTAGAGCAGTCAATTTTAGAACGTTCAGCCTTAGATCTTCCCATCTAAAAAGACGTTAAAATCGAAGCTTATTGTTAAAATAGAAAAACAGCGAACGGTTATACGTAGTATACCGAAACGTTGGTAACACAGTATGTGAGGAGAATAGCGGAGCTGTAAGCCAAATATATGGGATAGACTGAAATATTACTACAAAAATATAGTAATAAGTGGTCAGACACAACAGGAAATCTGCAAATTGATATAATCAAGAACGACGTGAAAAAGAAGCTTATAGACTCGACTTTACCGCGGCTCTTGATGAGTAAACAAACGTTTTTCTCACTGGGTATGAACAGTCATTCCCAAACTCTGATCACTGTTTCTAACGCACTGTAAGCACATGAATACTACGGCACTCATTCATACTCATAGTTATCGTGGCTGCCACAGGATGTACCAAATATGCAGTTTGGGGCTCCTTCCCTTTCCATATTTGAGTGAAATATTTCCATGGTGAACTTCATGTTTGTTAGATCTTTTGGCAACTGGGACCTGATATTCTATCTGCAATTTAACGTATTCCTCTTCACTGGCACATTGCGTTGGGTATTTCAAATTGCCACTTTTGAACCGGCATAGAAATTCAAGTGGCATAACTGCATAATCATGCATGCAAACCAGTGTGTGCTCTTATTTGCAAGGACAAACTATTGCTGTTATCATTAAAATGTAACGATTATTTCACTGTAAGGTATTGTATAGGAAATGAATATGTCGAGCTATTACACGCCGAGAGTTCCATACTATACCACGAGTGTTGTTTGGAACAAAGCAGTCATCATTATTATTTCCGGGTGACCGGTTCAAAAGTGAATCGACCACTGAAGTGGTGCCGATAGGGTTTCCAGACTCCGCTGAATCCCACTTCACAGCCGGACACATGAGTACGTGGTTGGATAATTCGATCGACCCCCCAATCACAGCATGAAATAAAATTGAGAACTACTCTAGTCAATATCTGCTGTGATGGCCATGAGGTACAACCATGCGGTCGTACAGAGGACTTTGCTACCTGAATTCTGGACTCAAATCAGGACAGCGCAACTTTACTCCAAACGCTCGGCCAGAACCTCCTGTGCACTGTCGAAAAAGCTTGAGTTTATGAAAAGATTGACGCCGAATTCTCTGAGGATCAAATGAAAAGCGGCTGAGACAAAATTATCTTTTAACTAACGGCCGTCTGCCTGCAGAAAACGTTCGTATTCACGTCAGGACAGTGTTTGGTCTGGTCGTCAGCCAGTAACTATCACAGGAGGGATCTCGCTCTTGCTTTCGCTACGATAAGCTGACCTAAGCGGAGATTAACCAGCTTCTGCCAACTGCCGTATGCTGTCACTAGTGGAATTCCCTCTCTACTGGCCACTACCGTGAAAAAGTGAAGGAAATCACTCGGGGAGCGACCTCCGACAATGTCTTCGTAGTCAAGGTGGCACCTAAGAAGTGAACGTCATGGGTTTTACGAGGCACTGGGCGTCTCTTGGATCCCAAAGGGAAAGCATAGTAAAATTGAGACTCCGAAGGAAACAGTCAGACCACGACGCATGTATGGCTCTAAGGGATTAGTGCAAAACTGAGGTCCAGAGAGATAGGGGTTAGTTCCAAATAAGCCTATCCCAGAAGTTTGGCAGGAATCCCTAAGACCTTTACCGATTCACGTTGAAGAGGAAACCTGTGGGCCAGAGAGAATCCGTTCAGAATGCAGGGAACGTCTCTGAACCTAAGAGCACCGATACGCCCGGTGCAACTTTCACTGCATTACTAAACACTCAGTCGCCTAACTAAAATTACCGACTGCCTGAAAGACATTCAACGCTACTCACTCCAGAAGGTTTGCCTGGACTATGGGCCGCCTTGCTACGGTCTTCGGAAAGCTGTTAAAGTGACATGAAGGGAAATCTCAGGATGCCACGACTTCGAACCACTTATGTGGAAACAACGAGTGGACGTCTTGCGCGGTCTACCAACAACCGGTTACAGCCTGCATGAATGAAAGTGCACTATTCTCCCTTTGCTCTGCGAAGAAAGAGACAAGCGGAACCCGAAGCGTTATCGGCCTACACCGCTTCTACCACCGTTACCGAAAGTAATGGAAAGCCTGATGCATAACCATGTAAGAAAATAATCGGACAGGAAGAGAGAAGTAAATGATGCTGAGCATGACGTCCGATGGCGTAGGTCCTACATCAAGAAACTTTTGACAGCCTATGACAAATGGACGGCGTGTTGAGATTTAAAGACCCCTGTTCACGTGATCCCAAAGGAATTTGCCAGAGGTCATTTTAAAACGTCTCTACTCACAAAGTAGGAAAGTTGGGTATTGGCAGACATGTGCCACTGTGAATCGAGGGTTATTCTGAAGACAAAAAGTTCTGCACGAAGTCGGCAGATTTTATTCATGTTTAAGAACATCATTTGGTGTCGCGAGGGCGATTCTGGGTCGACTGCCATCTCTACTCTGAGTGAGCAACGTTCCATCGAGTCTCAGTTGACTGACCCCACTGCATGTTGACAACCCTGGGCCACAGAGGGCTGTGAAACCCAAAACGGGGATCGAGCACACTACTAGGTGACCTAGGGATCCATGAGGGATGAGCAAGCTGACCACGGATAGATCCCAAAACCACCTTTCACCACACTTCAGGCTAAGGAAATTATCCTTCCATCTCTATCTCCCCCCTGTCCCCCCTCTGTATCATTCAGTACTGCTAAAACCTATAATGTTTCTCTGCAGTCATCAATTTGATGAGGCCTGTAAACTGGCTTCTCTCATGTTAACTTCATAGCTTGAGAATAAAGATATTTATTTGTTTCTGTCAGCGATTTCTCACACGGAATCCCTTCACTCAGCCTCCTTTACCCTGATGGCATCAAGATATGGTGGGTGGTAAGCAGGGAGGCCGACTGCGGTGTGTTTCAAAGTGACTTGCAGCAACCAGAACACTGGCCGCCAGGGGTCAGCTTTAGCTTTTACCTGGAAGGCGCATAGTAATGCATATTGGGATGGATGAAGCAAGGACGGCGGAATCAAATACAAGCTAAGTTACTGTGCTGACACACCATTCCACACTTTCTGCCTAAACAGCTCGGTGTTGCTTTTCTGAACTGTTTCTAACGGTGTTAAATAGTATGCACGACGGAATCTGGAGGCCCTCAATATGGTAGCAAACGAATCACTGAAAAGAGACTTCAATCTCCTTATGAAAACAGAAAGGTCTGCGGCGAAATCTCTTGCTGGACTAACGGGGAAGATATACTCTTAAAGACCAGGCACCCAGACCTCTTCGCTTCGGGCTATCGCAGGAAGAGGTGTGACTTTATGATGGGCTAAGAGAGCAGCTACCAAACAAGTCGAACGAAAAAATCAACCGTTCCTACAGCATAGTGCTCATCATGAGGGAAACTCATCAGAATAATGCATCATAGAGTCAACTCCAGGTTCATGTCGAACTTTTCCCACTTGGGAGCCTGGGCTTAATGGAATGCTCGACAGCCCGATGTAGCCACAGGCCTCTCAGTAAACTCATTCCGAGGAAAGTTGGACAGATACAGTAATTCGAAAGGCCTAACATCGGCAGACTGAAGGCATCACTGGCCCCACTAGTCCACTTCTGCTTTCTTCCTGCATATCACCTGCTATCATTCCGTCTTTGATACGCCTGCATTATCCTCCAATTCCTCTCTGGTAGCAAGATTGATACTATCTGCTTCTATCCTTCGGAAACCTCCCATAAACCTTTTCTTACTATTTTGCCATTCCTATTCTGGGATCTGCACAGACAGAAGTCACAGAAGACGTCTAGTCCTCTGGACAACCCGTAACTTCATAACTAACTCAATCTTCAAGTTTTATATAGCAACCCACGAAACCATTCATCTCACCAAAGCCAAGAGCGGGAAAACAGGATTTATTGACTGCCACAGGGGCGAACCAATAAACAAGAGAAAAGGCCCATAAACTAGACAAAACTGACCAAAAGCTATCGGTTTCCTACGCTTCACGGTCGATGTTGGATGTTGTCTTTTGGATATACACAGCACATAAACCACCAGATGTTATCACCTTAATGCTATATTTACACACCAAAAGCTTATTTGGCTGAAAGGAAAGCTAATTGTCAACAAAATTTATCGCTGTGATGTATTGTTTATGCGCAAGTCTTTGTTTTAATGCTTGAAAACTGTTAACCAATTGCGCAGTAAGGCGTTAGTCACCAAATGGAACGGTTTTCTAGGTTGGCTCTTCTGAATAGTCAGCCATCCGAATTCTTTAAAAATAAGAATTTGCTCGAAGTTCTGAATGACCTTCAGTCTTCGGAAAGAATACAACATTATGAACTAAGGGATTTGATACTGTGTGTTGGAAATGCCATCCGCAGTTACCCTGAAGAAGCCCTGAAGCAATTTGATCTATTACTTCCCATTTGTGGTATACTTAACCTAGTTTTTACAGTCTTTCAGATCACCTCTTCGAAAAGTCCTTTTTGTTAAATGAGCCTACAGCATGGTCATTGTTGAAATCGGTTTTGGAAGAGGTCCTACAGGTAGTTGGTGACACCTTGACCTTAATCCCGTTTTTTTAGCCACTAGCCAAAACTTCTGTCTCAAGTAGGATTGTCATTCACATTACAATTCTTAAGCTGCCTATCGTACTGTTGAGAAGTTCCTGGTTCGCATGCTGAAAATAGTTTCGGATGATAGATCGGAATTTGTAGACCGTTGTGATGTGAGTTTACTTATCCATGTTGCAAACTACAGGTCTGTGTTTCATTTTATCGATCCATTCGGGTGGAAATGGTTCGGTGTGTTTTGAAGAGATTGGAAAGGTTTAAACAGCCTTCTAGCCAAGTAAAGCTGTGAGGATATAAGATCTAGAAGAGAGTGAGAAAAAATCAATTGGTTTACACTAGCTTGTAAAAAGATACTGGATATTCGTGGTTAGAAAAACTGAGCTGTCATCTAATTCAATTCTGGGTTCTTCCGTGAATTCTTAGTTATTGTCTGACTTCGAAGCAAGCAATAGCAGATTATAAATAAAAAGTGATATAAGAGTCAGGAAAAGTTGCGTACCCGTTTTACATCTTTCAATCCCCTTATCGTTTCTACCTTCTCTTCCATCGCCTGATTGAGAGTTAAACTAGATTATCCCAGAAATTTCTACTTGTACTTGGTAACATAAGTGCCAAGGAGTTGAATCTATATTTATTATTATTGTATTTCTGTGGAAATACAGACTTTCTTTTTCCGTTTCATGCAAGTGTGTGTGATGTGTCTTTGCTTGTCACTGGCATATATTCCGCGATAAACCAATGGTTAGAGCATTTCTTATTTAAAAGGCTGTCTGGTGGGAGTCGGTTTATTTCCTCAAAAATGTTGACTAGATATCATACAGAATTCATCTAAGTGGCACAAAGATATGCAAACCCTCGCTCAGTCGAAGTTACAAGTAACTTACTGCTTTTTGATTTCTGTTGCTCTATCTTGACTTATTTCCATTTGTTGGCTGCTTATGTGTGTTGTTAAGCTCCTCCACTATCGAATTTATCGTGGTATGTTACCAAGGAATTTTTCAGCATAAGTCGACATACGTTCCCAGTGTTATATTCTCGCCCATTTTGCAGTTCACACTTACGTGAAGTAAACCTGAGTAACGTTGTGTAGTGATGGTGGAATTCATTGTAAACTAGGTCTTGTCTTGCAACTCTTTTGTTACGGCAGTGGGAAAAATGCTGGCAAACCATTGCTATCCGGCCACTATCTTTGGACTTTCTAAGTCAGTAATCAGAAAATCAGCGTTTCAAAATTGGATAATATCGTACTGTCTGATTTACTCTTTAAATTAATAGTTTGTGAGTGTGCATTATATTCAAAGGTAGCATTTCAACCGGCATTCCATGCGAATAACTATTCATAAGTCCTTCATATAATCAGCAGAAATTGTGTCCATTAGAACTAAACGTTTCCTAAGTTAATGCTAGCAACATTTCATACTCGTACAGTGTGTGAAATTTTACTAGCTGTTGTGTTAACTGCAGTGCTTATTATTTGTTGTTAAAGCTAGACGACAGTGTGCATTCCGAGCTCTACTTATCTGTCTATAGGTGTAGTTTACGAACTGACCAGTTGAAAGTAGAGGTGTCTGTGTTTCAAATATATAACTTAGAGATGTGGAGTTGTGAAATATCTAACTGTTATGTGTGATCTTGCGCCGATGCAACCTTATTTTAGGAAGTGAGCATGATATTCATTTTCATCATAATATAACAATCACCTCATGTTTTTATTTACCACTAAGGGATTTTATTTTCGTAATGTGATACAGTTGTCGATATGATCACATACATTTTAAATTCTCGTGAAAATCGCACTTTGATGTTGTTTAACTTGTTAATTTAGTCTCCACAATCACTTTTTATTTTATAAACATCGTGTTAGTGGCTTTCAATACTAGCCGCTTGTGATTATAAATTTTACTGATTCTATATCACTCAAATTAACTTCGTTATAAATCATGTTTTTCGGTTTTTTATTTGAATAAGTGTAAACATGTATGGATGTTCTGCTGCCAACATTGGCTGTTACTTCTGCAACAACGAGTTGGGGAGAGATTTCTACTTGGTCTTGATATTTCTTTGCATTTTGTAAAAATCACAGTTTTTTAAGTAATCCAGATCCCACTTCTTTAACTTTCACTTTTAAAAAGAAGCCCAAGTCATCTTTCACACATTGTGCCGAATATTTCATTTATTAACACTTGACTTGCAGCCAAATTGCGTTTAAAATTCCGTTATTGAGTACCGTGGCAAGAGGTATCAAACAGCCAGACAAAACACAGTCTTGAGTGTATTTTCATCCATTACGTTTTCCATTTGGTTAGTTGTTGATGAGAATGTTACTAATCAGCTGTTTTTTCCACCACTACATCGTTGTGGTTTATATGAAACTTGAGATTACTAAAACTATGCTAATCAAACAATTTGATGATACATACATCTGTTTCCATGAAATTACATATGTAGATGCCAATCTAAACCTGACTAAAACGTATGACGTTTGAACTAGTTTAGATTACTTGCCTAGTGTAAATGATGTTTAATGATGTTTGGTAGTTCATAACATCCTATTTTCAAGACTTCTTTTGAAACTTCTCTTTCAGGTTGCTGCATCTCTAAATTCAATTCTTTCTGGCATTCCAAGTAAAAAAAGAAACAAACTGTGGGATAATTTTAGCTTGAAAACAGCTATGTAAGTCCATTTCCACTTATAAGTTACTCTGAATGAACTTCTCTGAAGTTCCAGCTTTGGGGGAAAATTACGTCACCTGGGGGATTTCGATCTCCAAGCTCATTCTTCAGCTCTCCTTCTCAGACTGATTCCCCGAGATGACCAGGAAGAGTTTGCGCTAACTTATATCACCCCAGAGTTTCCATCACTTGCACGAAAATTTTCCAATATTGGTGGTATAAACTTTGAATTCGTAAGTACATGAGTATTTTTTATCTTAACTCACATACGATTCACAAATTTTATTCTAAACATTTTTCATGTATTTAATTTAAAAAATTTTCAGTGGTAGATAAGTTCACAAGATTAGAAAGCATATATATATATATATATATATATATATATATATATATATATATGGAATTCTGAATTAAATCTAGATGGTAGGCTGATGGTCATTTTTTGGTTTGTTGAAGTCTTCAAAGATAAAATTTCTTACTATAGAGACATATTTTTCATATGTTCCTGGAAAAGTATGATGATGGTCTGCACCTTAGACAGTTTGATCGGAAGAGATATCAAATGTATCCTTCATCGAAATTTACTCCCGAAGTTGCCAGGACAACTTAACTCATGTCTCCAAATCCTGTTAATATGATCTGTTGTTTAGATTAAAACAGGTAAACTAATATGGTTCATAGGGTGTTCGAATATTAATTCCTTTTTATGTAGTTATCTTTGAAACTTTAAGATCCGCTGTATGGATTGGATGGTCTATCCGGTTTCTATGGGATTACAAATGTAGGGTTCTCATTGTTTTCATTGTACATTTCCTTATTTACTTAGTCCCCATCCTTTATCTCTTTTCTGATTAAATAGTTCAATAAGAATAAGAAGTAACCTGGAATTCATATGTCCGCTAATTATGTTATGAAAACGAGTTACTCTGATTTGCAAGTAGGAAGAGAGCACTTAAGAAGTACTTTCGGGGTCCAGAAGTTGTAAACTAATTTTGGTAATTGCCTATAGAAACTGTATTGCACCAGTAATTTGTTCACAGTTAGTACTTTAGTTAACCAAAGATGTTGAAAGCATCTGTCCTGTCGACCGCTGAAATCAGGCCAGAAATAAAGCTGTTTTTATTGGGATGACTAGAAAATTATAGTTCTGGTCCACGAGTTGGAAATCAGTAGCATGCTGGTTCTAACATGTATTTCATGCATGTCTGTCCAAGTAGGTGTGGAAAGCATACTTATAAAAAGCCTCTTTAAGCACAATTAAGGAATGCGCCATTTATGTATTTAAGAAATTAAACTAACAGATAGCTGTATTTGCTGTGATTAGACCAGATTTTATATGCAGTTTGTCCTGGAAATAACCATTCATACAAAACAACCAGAAACTGATTGTTTAGAAAAGTAGAGAATCGCGGATAGCTTTAATATCTATTGATACTGAATGTTTTTTAATACGATAAAGAGCGAAAGCAGCTATAGTTCAGCAGAAGAACAAATCTATTTGGTGATCGCCAGTCGGGGTAAGTGGTGGAAACGAAGAATAATCTGTAAAATGACAATGGCTAATGGTGTGTAGAGCTTTAGACATTTCAAACAAACTTAGCTAGTTAGAACTGAGGGTGAAGTTGTTTTTGAGTCAGACGACTAATTTTTATTCTGCTGTGAAAAAATACTCAATAAATGTTTTACTGGCCCCCACAGATGTTCAGCTTGCCATTTATTCGGTCATAACCTGAATAGAATATTTAAATTAGTTTGAATGAAGGTAGTGTTTCATCCAAAAGATGAATCAGTAGTTCTAACTGAATCACCTGGAGAGGTTGGTTTAAGACTATTAGCTGGTCTAAGTTATTAGTCGGCGTGTAGGAGTGAATAATGATTTCATTTGTTCGCTCTTGGCCAATAATTGTTACCATCTGATGCGAAGACAGAACTTTACTGTGATAATCATTAAGGAGATAGGTCAGCTAACATTATTACTACCCAATGACAGTGCTACATTTATCGGTGTTAGTAGCCAATAACGGACACTGCAAAAATTGGTTTAGAAGGGTGCTGAAACCATCTAGTATCTAAATGGGTGGAAAAATTAAATAGAAATTTGTTTGTTTTCCTGCTCATCCCTCTGAGCTGTTTCATGTTGAGGATTGCGACAACAAAACCTAAAAATAGTGTTTAGCTCAAAAATATCTCTTCATTTCAAAAATACCTACAGCACTCATTCAAGAAACAGAATATTTTAAGACTGTCGAAAAATGGATAATTCAGTAAAATTCAATTCGTGTTTCTCCGAAGGTTTGGATTAATAATTACGCATTTTGAACTTGTTGAGGGTCATGATTGTGCATTCCTATTGTAAAGAGATACGATTTCATCCTACTTTTTCCGAAGTGATGGGCATAATTAACATTTAACATGCAAGATGCCGTAACAAGCAGTTCCTAAGATTTTATCGGAGCATCATGCAAATTCTTTCTGCCTGTTATTACTCGCCTCAAGTCATTCTTAACTCATATTATACAAGCGTCTTAGAATCTTTAATATGGGCGTAAAATCTGGGCACTGTAGTAGAATGTAATTCCATACTAGATTATCATATATATGTTGTATTTAAATACATATCTACATATAGACATATCAAGCAGATAATATTGTATCACCCTATGCGATGTCACACAAACACATCTAACATGTCGTAGAGTTCTTTTCATTGGTTTCTATTACTTCTAGTGCGCTGGTCATTCTGATCGGAGGCGGTTAGTTCTGTTTAAACCTATGAAAATCAAATAAATCTTACTAAGCTGGTGACTGGACTTACTCTTTCGAAAAACTGAATTGCCTGCAACTTGGTATAACTTGATGTTTATTTAGCTACCAGTTAGCAGAATTTTATATAGTATGATATACTTCATGACGGTACCAGACCACGAACTATTCCTTTGCATGAATTTCATTTCATAAAAGAGCTGTGGCATACTGACTTAAGCATTCGGTCTTTAAGCAATAAGTTCAGGGTTTAAATCCCAATCTCTCTACCTCAACCAGGGTACCAGGTTATTATCATAAACCCTCAAAAAATATGGCTCATAGATCAATACTTAAAACATCTGCTGGCTTGAGTTGTGGTGTTTACGCGGTTGGAGGGGCACTGGTTTCACTGCCGCAGCCTCCCTGTAAACAAAAGTCAAATTAGTTGTGGCGAACTTTTATTGGATGATAACACTGGTTCATGGCTCATGCACCTAAACATGAAAGTCACAATAACGAATAACGATAGGTTAAGAAAGCCCGTATAATCTGGTTTGACAAGTAAGACAAGTGGCCTGTTTAGTTAGAAAATGACTTCTGGACAGTAAGACGTGAAAGAATGAGTTGGAAACAGGCTTATAATTACATCTACGATTTGATATTATCCACTAAGTTTATTAATGAAAGCTTTTCAAGCATTCGAAGTTATCTATTAAAGTACAACTATCCACATTCCTTATTTCCTTACTCCAGTATCTCTATGATACAGTTATAATAAGTTTTCATTGTTGGCTTGTGTTCAGTTCGTTAAGTGATCATCAACAAAAAGCTCACATCCAACTGAATTCAGTATAAAAGATTTACATTGATCTATGTTTCGAATATATTCGTGATTCGAATTTGTCTTAAACCATAACTAGCATATATAACTTTTTGTGTCTTTGGCGGGTTGATTGGTTTCAAGAGAGGTTTCATCACGGACTGAAATTATTTGAAGAATTGTTGAAAACCTGCAAACACTCAACAGCTGTTTCGTGCGCGCAGATGGATCCCCCACTCAGGCAGTACTGCATAAAGGTTCAAGTTGTCACACCCCTTATCAACTCAACAAGCGAGAAATCACTAAGATTAAAGATAAAGAAATAAAAAAGAACCAGTTAAATGTAGTGGAAAGTAGTAAAGCAAGTAAAGGACAGAGGAATAAGAAAATACTGAATTCAGTATGATTATTATAGTCAGAATAATGTGTGGCTATATCAGCGCCATGCATCTATTCCGATAAATGTCATCTAGAGTCTCCAACATCTGTTTTTCGTTGTTACCCGGACTCCAGCCGCGGAGTCTACATTTCCCTATTTGGTTCAGACGAATAGTCAAAGATTCCGTGCACTGATGTCATGCTTTAGTCTATCCACAGCTGACCTTCTTACAACCTGAACCCACTTCAACCAACGTTGCGCAACGAGGAACATGATAACTTAGGATGCATAACACATGTCGCAGCCACCTGAGCCGGTGAAGGTTCACAACCTCACTGGCTAAATTTCCTGTTCTCGCTAAAACGAAAACTATCCTCTACATTACTGATGTGGTGACACCACGACACATTGCTTATGCTACTAAACCAACGGTGGTCATATACGTGGGACTTTCTCACATCATTTACCTTTAATGGCCATGTTTCACAGCAATATAGTAGGACAGAATGAACTGCAGTGCAATTCACTTGACCTTTAATTTGAAATCGGATGTCACGATGGTTTCATAAACGGCATAAGTTGACGAAGGTTAAGCGAGCCATGCCGAGATTTTGTCGGTCACTGGCCCACTCAAGTTAATCCGACTTCCCAGGTAAGTCACCTATTTCACTCCTATTGCTAGACAGGGTGCCAGTGAAGACCAGTCCTGTAGCGACAATTCGGTGTTAAATGGTGTCAAATGTATTGTAAACAATGGAATTGTCTCTCAAGGTGTCCAGAAGATCCTACACCTTCACCTTACAGGGCTTTTTCATCTGCGTACTCTAGATCTGCCAAGGATTCTCCTGTGATATGATTGATCCTTGAGAAGTGAGAAGACAATAGCGACTTCCGTAAATACGTCTATGTTACTGTTGAATAAGAATAAAGAGAGTGAGCATCCTTGATAGACACCATTCACTTCACACCACCCACCATAGGCTCTATCATACCCACGGGTGTTCGAGTGCTGAGCCTTCAAGAGAGTGACGTACTTATTCCGTACCCTTTTCAGTAAGACCTCTCGATCGATGAAATCGAATGCCGCCTTTAGGTTGAGAAACACTACAAGTGTTGGGCGTCAGTGAGTATCCCTGTGTTTCAGAACCTGGCGGAGGGTGAAAATCTAGTCTATACATCCACGGCGAGGTCTGAAGCCTGCCTGGTTTTCTCTGGATGCTATTCCTGATCTCCACTCAGGCCTTTAATGATTATACAACCTAGAATCTTAGACACTATGTCCACTAGGGTGGTTCCTCTATGGCTGACGCAAGAAGAATTCTCACCTTGACTGGGATGGTCAATCATTGAGACCAGTGAGACGGAATCGTGTTTGATCCCTACACACCAGTTAGCACTTCTGTTAGCTCAACTAGAAATCCTTCACCAACGTCGTTAAATACCTCTGGAATTCGTTCATCTGGCTCCGCTGCTCTTCCTCGTTTTTGGTTAGCTACCACTTTCTCGACTTCTCGAGGTCTTGTCTCGATGTTGCATTCAGGCTCTTAGTGGATAGCGGGCAGTAGGATAGTAGCTGTAGGTCAGTTGAACTATTCATCTATGAGTTCCTCGCATCGTTTCAGACGTCTCTCCTGTGAGTGAATCACACACTTATCCTTTTTCCCTATGGTCTCACAAGTCACTGACCTCACCGCCTCAGTTTTCCTATGAGGTAGTAAAAATGCACCTTATACAATGAACTGTATACTGTTATCTATCGCCGCTGCCTTTTCCACCGCTTTAGTCTTCTCTACTCAGTACTGTTCATGGTCATTGTGTAGACCTTTCGTAAGCCTGCATTTGAGTTGCTCACGCTTCTCATTGTAATCCGAGCCTGCAGATACGTCTTCGCGTGTATCCATTAATTCAGAAGAAGCCGTCAAGATTCACTGACTCTTTTAAACCACTCTAGGAGAGTTGGCTATGCTGTTCAGGAGCTACTTTTGCACCAGACTGGAGGTGGCATCAGGCTTCTTCTAGACGAGTGCTTTTATCCTGTTCCGATACCTGTCAAGCCAGTTTCTCACTGAAAGCGAACTTAGTGCTCTCATTGTTGAGCTGAACTCATCGTTTTGAAGAGCCGGAAGACATTAAAGATAATGTAGATATATTGACCGAGAGACGTCATGGGAGATTAGAAGTTAAGGTTGTAGAAGGTGAACAGTGATCTGAGGGAACTTCAGTGGTGGTTGTCGCTTCCTGGCTTCCCATGCTGTGGAAGGGAATTCCATGCCAGAACAAAACAAGGTGACTATAGCTCCTAGGTTTTCAGTGGTTCCTCAACTCACGTCATTTCGTGAATAATACTACCTTGGATCCAATTGATCTTGATAAACCACCACTTGAAATAATGTCTAGCGTCTATTAGCGATATGCTTTAAGATGAATACGCTCAAGTTCTAATGAGAAGCTGTAACGTATGGAGTCAACCAAGTCGATTACGAGAACAAATACTCATCTATGTTATTGGATGATGGTCACGCTGTATTGTCAATCTTCACAATGTAGTTGGAAAATTTACTATTGGATTCCGAACCAATAGCTAGATGGCAACGTGCTCGTTGCAAGATCTGATGGTCGTGAGCTTGATTTCACACACGGTCATGGGCACACGCTACTGAGGAGTATGAAACCAAGGCGAAGTAGCTGTTCATCGCTTCCAGATTTTCCGATAACTTTTTCAAATAATCTCAGTCCATAATAAATTCTACCTTGATACAAATTTTCATACTGCAGTACCATTTTTATTATTATTTTTTTCTCTTTCCAGGAAATTCGACCGTTCCTAAATACAGTCAATGGTGTTACGAAAGTTAATCCGAAGTTTGAATTACTATTCATTAATCACTCTTCTCTATCTTCGTAGAGTAGTCTCTCTTCCTTGCGAATCTTTGAAGCTGTGTAATTTGTCGGTGAGTTTTCCTTGAATCCACAAATTAATAAAATATGAATTTTCTCTTATGTATGGGAAAATTAAAGGAAATACTTTTTGCATTTTTGGTCTGTCTGTTTTTATGATATTACATTTACATAGTATATAATTATGTTCAGAAAAATTATAATCTGACCTCTTGTCTCGAGAAACCTAAATTATTTTAGTCCTTGAGAGAATTTCCAAAAGTATGTAAAAACAGTATCAGATCACATAAAATAGCACTCAGCTCATCGTTATCACGAATATGAGGAGACATGTCCTTCGGCTTTGAGAAAGCTAATGAATCATCACAGTCTGCGACACATCTTCGATTTTGAAATGTTACTTCCATGTACCAGAATAATTGTGTGACCAATCTGAAAGTTACTTGTAAAGTACTACTTAAGATAGGGAGATCAAATAAGAAAATCATGAAACTTCATTGCTTGAGTATGTTAGAACCTGTGTCATTTTATGGCGACCATCTAGCTTAGAACGTTAGCTTAACAGGAGTATAAGAAGTTGGAGAAAAATGAAATGGAAGTTGAATCTAGGCGTGACATTAATTCTGAAAATCACACAGTGTTGTTTCAGGTTGTATAGGAAATTATAAACTTCCTACAAGGAGGAAACTGCACAGGTGTATCTGCTTTTTATTTTTCTCCATGTACAGCTATGTTTTGTCTCCTTTATTATTGCCTCTTCATTCTAGTCCCTTCCTCTGATACCATTAATTTTATTTCTTTGCAATTTCTGTTGTCCACTTTACTCTCCCAGTATATAGTGTTATAACCTAAGCCGGTTGATAAGTATATGATGTCATTTGTTACTGATTTTTGTGTGTTTCTGCTTAACAATATCTCTGTAGTTGTATGAGCACGAAAATTTGCTCAGTACATGCTAGACCAAACACATTTACAAAAAATAAATTCATAAATGTAGCCTTGATGTATGTGTATATAAGCCATAACGATACGGTACACGCTTCTACTTTTATTAAAAATGTTTATTCAAACTAGCTGCCACTATACTTCCTACCTCAGTCACATGAAATTTTTTCTTAAATCCTTCCAGATGGCCACTGTTTCCAGATACATGCATTCAGTTTCCCTAAAGAATTTGGATAATGCATGAGCAGATAGACAAACATACAAAATAAATGTAAAACCCAACACACCAGCGCACCGGTTCAAGTCGTCACACTTCACACAACAACACATAGTACAAGTGGATAGAAAAAGACTGATATCAAAGATGCATGGGAAGAAAAGGAACTTAAAAATGAAGCCTAGTCAAAACATGCAAAATTTGGAAAACGTCAAACACTGAATATATCTGTGCTCATGTGACCGAGGGTCTCCAACCATTGATTCCTGTCGTCTCTGGGACCCCAACCAGTCAGTCTACACCTCCTTAAATGACTCACACCGACAGTTAGAGACTTTATGCACTGATGTCACGTCTTGGTCTTGCCATGCCTAGCCTTCTTTCAAACGAATCCAACTTCTGGTAGCAGTAGACGACGAAATGGGCCGTAACTTAGCATATGCAACACATGTTAGAGGATCATTAGTCACGCTTCCCCGACCGATAGCTGCTACTTTGACGTCGTGGTCGGGCGTACATCTTAGAATGACTCAAAGAGTTATACTGGCTGAAATTCTTGTTCCCTCGGTGTCTTACTATGCCAGGTCTGTTGGATGGTGTTAGGATGAAAAGCATTTACCGTCGTAGTGTAAATTGCTTTACTATTATTATTATTATTTATTAGTCCCTTGGGTTCCTAATGGAACATGGGGCTTCACTAGCACGTCTCCAGTGAACTCTATTCTCTGAAATTTTTTGAACCTGGCTCCACGACAGCCCACAAGCTCTCATTTCCTCCTCGCACGATCTCCTCCATGTCACCCCTGGACGTCCAACTCGTCGCTTCCCATGGGAATTCCACTCGCTGCTGCGTGATGTCCCCAGTCGGCCTTCTCAGTGTATGCCCAATCTATCTCCACTTCCTTCCAGTGCATATTTGTTGGGTGATAGGTTCTTGGTTGGTTCGTTCCCAGAGCTCCTTGTTGCATATTCTTATTATTCTGGCCATCTGATCTTCAGTAACGAGCTAGCGTAAGCAGTTGTTGATGAATGTCTGTAGTTTATTGGAAATCCCTTTCGTGACGCGCCAAGTCTGTCAACCATACAGAAGCATTGACTTGGTTGATGTTGGTGTTGAAAATCCGGATATTGTTCACGCTTTATGCTGAGTGCAGATCTCCACACTGGTTTCAGGCTAATGAACGCCTGTCTTGCTGCCTTTCGGATTCTGACTTTGACATCCTCGTCTTTGCCGCCTGTATTTGAAACAGTGCTGCCTAGGTGGATAGGTGAAAGAGGCTACTTCATTTAAGTTTCTCCCATTGATGGTGACTGGAGTTTGTTGTTGCGGTTGGTGTTGTTGGTTGGGTGTCTTCATCACCTCTGTCTTCTCTATGTTCACCTGAAGTCCCGTCTTCCTTGGCTGCTCTGCCTCTTCTGCCAACTTGTTAGTTTTTGCCTGTAGATCTTCAAGTTTGTGAGACATCAGACAAGTCATCATTGGCGAAATCCAAATCTTCTAGTTTCTTTTCCGCAGTCCAGCCAGCGTATACCCCTCTTCTCGCCCCCCTCCCACTGTTTGCTGCATGATCCAGTCAGTTGAACATAATCAGGAATATCATGGGGGATAGTAGGCAAACTTGTTTCACTCCTGTCTTCACTTCAAAAGCATCACTGAGCTTCCCATTGTGAATTACTTGGCATGTGGCGTCTTCATATAGTTGTTGAATGAGGCTGATAAAGGTTTGCGGTATTTCGTAGTATTGAAGCAGTTTCCGAATTACCCCTCGGTCGACGCTGTCAAAGGCCTTCTCAAAGTCGATGAAGTTGAGGTGAGGTGTAGAGTTGACTGCCATTCTATACTCTGTTCTATGATGATGCGTAGTGTAGCGTTGCAATTTGGTCTGCACATGATTTGTACTTCCTGAATCCAGTCAGCCTGCCTGTTCCGGTTGTAGTTTTGAATCCAGCGCATCCTTTAGCTTCTCCAGGATGATGCGGCTTAATAATTTGCTTGTATTGGGTGGACAGGAGAGTGATTCCGCTTCAGTTCTTGCAAACACTGAGGTCTCCCTTCTTCGGGAGTTTGACAAGGTAACCCTTCTTCCAATCAATGGCCAGATACCTTCTCTTCCTTTCACACCTTCTGCAGTAGTGGTGTGATGTGTGAGCATGTCCGCTGTTGTCTCTGCGTCTGCTTTCAGTGATGCTGGCGGTATCCCATCTGGTCCTGCTGTTTTCCCACATTTCAGTAGCTTTATGGCATTCAGGACTTCCACTTTTGTTGGAGGATTTATGTTCACTTGTAGTTCTGTGGCTGGGCTGTAGGTGGTATTTCTGGACGAAGTGCAGGTAGTGGTCGATTCGAGAGTTTTTTGAAGTGGTCGACCCATTGTTTCCTTTCTTTCTCTTCTTTCGTAATTAAATTTCCCCATTCATCTTTTATTGGCTTCATGTGTATTGATCTCTTCCCAGATAGTAAGTAACCTGGTTATTTGATACAATATTGTCAGGTCTCTATCTCTCCTACTTGCAGCCTGTTCTGCTTCACTTGCCAGTGTTTCGTAGAAGTGTCTTTTGTCTTTCCGTGCACTCTTCTTCACCTCTTTGTCCAGTGTTTTATACATTGAACTCAGTTCCTCTTCTCGTCATTCATCCTTACACTGGTTTGTCTTCTGCTTCACCATCCTCCCCTCCTCTATCGGCTTCCATGTGTCCATCGAGATCCATTCCTTATCTTCTTCCTTCCTAATAAGGTTATGCAGGTTTCTTTCCACATAGCTTTCAAAAACTTCCAGTGTTGTTCCACACAGGTTTCTTCAAGGATGTTGCTCGATATCTCCCATTTTGTCTTGATGACTGGCTGACGTGGAGATTTCCTTTGTAGTTTCGTCCTTTAGTTCCTGTTCTGAGTGTTGAACTTGAACTGTGGTCTATCACCAGCTTCCTTGAAGGCTTTCAACTTGATTTGGAAGGCAGGTTCCTTGCACTAGATAGTGAGTGGTGTGAACCTACATATGCTCCTCCTCCTCCTCTTGACCTTGTGTCAAGTAGGCTGACTGCGTCTCCACTTTCTTCACATTGAGATCAAGTCGATCTGACTTTTAGTGTGTCCATCTGGTGAATAGTGAAATCCATGTCGCTTTGTGGATATCCTTGTGCTTGAACACACTGTCTGACTCCAATCACCAAATCGTTGAATGCACAGAATTCTGTAAACAATTCTCCATTCTCGTTCATCACCTCACCGAGCGCTTCTCGACCTATGGTTAGTTCTCTTCCTGTGCTGTCCCTCCCAATTTGGCATTCATGTCGCCCATTAGAATTTTGATATCGCCAACTGAGGTCTTGTCCAGTGTTGATTGGAGTTTTCTGTAGAATTCCTCCTTCTTCTCTTGCCCTGCATTATTTGTAGGTGCGTAGTGTAGCGTAGCATTGTGTGATTGTGACTTTCCTTCCTTTTGAGTTGAACCTCGCTGTCATGATCCTGCAGGAGGAGATTGGTTCCCACTGCATGGGGGCCTTCGATGCTGTTGGCGACATCATGATAGCCAATCTATAACTCAGTGTGCTCGTGGTTGTCGTCTGGGTGACAATATCGGAGTAGATTATTGATTCTCCAGATGACAGTTTGGAGAGTCCACTCCCATTCCATATGCTTTCGCAAATTCCAAGCACTTCAATGTGATACTTCATCTCGTTTGCAATCTGGGCTGCCTTGCTGGGTTCAAACATAGTGTGGACATTCCACGTCCCCACGTTTACTTTCACTTTCATCGAGAGAAGTCCAATGGCATAATCGTAACGCCGACTGAATGGGGTGTCACAGTAGTAAGATGTCGCCCGCAGATAGCCAATAGTGCCACGCTCATTAAAAACGGTTCAGCCCCAAGAATAGCGCACTCCTCCCTTCCCCATGGCCTTTCAGGAACGGCAATATGGGTTTACTCTCTCCAGCGTTAGAATAACCGGGATATTTTTGACTGCGTCTTGTGTACTACTGGAAGTGTGCGGCTGGTTGACACTTCCTGGCTGCCCACAAAGTGGAAGGCTATTTATTCTTATGGTACCTGAAAGAGAAAAATATTTGTGACTGCAGATCTCATGGGACATCTGCGTGAGGTTTGCCACACACAGCCTTTTCAGGATTATTGATTTGTAATTCTGTCGTCCAAACACTGGATAAAAAAACCTATCCTGACGGCTCTGGGAGACTGTACTGTTTTTGGGGTTCAGCCTTAGTAACTGCTTCCTTTCTCACCGTCGAAGTAGAATCAGCTTGATACTACTGACCATCCAGGGGGAACACTTTACCACCGTTACCCTCATCCATCCAGCAGTGCAACTTCACCCTTGGACACCCACCGCTGTGTGGCAGTTTACACTACAAGAGTAATTGCTTTTCGTCTCACCACTACTCAACAGACCTTTTTGGCACTGCATGAACCTGAGGGAGTAGGCCTTCCAACCAGTATAGGTCGTTGGGTCATTTTGATATTCAAGCCCAAGTCAAAATAGCGGCTCTCAGTCAGTCACGATTGTTTGAATGGATGAGCAACATTTTTAAAATTAAAATGAATTCAATTTATTTTAGAGCCCTTCATTTTCAAACAACAAAACAACACTGAGTGCAGCGGATGAAGTGATAACCCGAAAATTTCATCAATATAGGAGTAAAACTTGGGGACTGTGGTAGATTGTAACTCCATTTTAGTCTGTTTATTAGAAATGCCGAACACAGAAACAGCATCATTTACTGGATAACGTTTCGGACACAACTTATTGTTGATATTCATGTCCATATTATGTTATGAATATGGACATTAAATTATGTCCGAAACGTTATCCAGTAAATGATACTATTTCTGTGTTTGCATTCTAATAAATAGACTATAACTGAAAAGTTCCTCACCACTAGACGGAGATCATGTCTGTCAACTGACTTAGTTTGCTCAAGCATGGCTGAGTTACGTTCTTTCAGCTCTATTACGTCAAATATTTTTCAGATAAAAATGATTCGTTACTAGTTACTTATAATAAAAACTTGGGGTTGAATCTGGTTCTTCAATTCTCCACTTATGAAATATCCCATAGATACTGATTAATGCTCATACACCATAGACGAAATTTTGTTGGTTGTTGTGACTTTGCTAGGTTACTGTTTTCTGACATATTTCCTATTCATATAGAGATATCACTAAAGTATGGACATCAACGAATCAAAACGGAATTACATTGAACAGGTTATTGAGCTCTAGTTAAATTTATTGGTGTCTTAATTACTCAGCTATTAACCGAATTTTAGGATAATTTCAAGCAAATTCGGATATACCTTCTCTTTCTAAATATTCAACTACCGAAATATTGTTGAAAAAGTTAGTATATTTTCTATACACGTTGTTTAAACTGCTCGTAATTATATACAACTCTGAAGTATCAACTAATTACATTGATAAAAGCCTTTCAATATATATTGTTTGTTATTTAAAGTTGCAGTGCCCTAAAGTTCCTAATGATGAAGCGAATGTTTTCTGGCTGGACTTCAATATGGGTGCCGATAGAATCACTTCTTATTGTTTGAAACCGTCTGATACAGATTCACAAATTTCGGTATGTTACACACTGTTTTGTTTTGAGATATCTATTTCTATATATTATCCTTTATTGCAGTACTGACGTAGTCTCATCATAATATAGTCCTTCATTTGACGATAACATATCTGAAGGTCGGTGACAAATGTTTGTAGCTCAGGATATGCATATACAGATTAGATTTTTCTGTGCGATAGAGGTTCGATTGACATTTTAAACTTCAGTTTTGAGATACTAAATAGCAAGTTAACGATCTTAATGTAGCCTATCACACACCAGAAGATAACAGACTATTAGTGTTATTGCTTGTATTACACCGTCGTTGATTGGACCGAATTGATCAGTCTCTGTTTGCATATGGGCTCCTATGCGGATGCCTCGATATTGCCTGTCTTTTAACTATGTTTAGTAATGATGGGCAGTGGCTAGCAGTGGAATCCAGGATGCGCATTTCGTCCTATTTGAGACTCGTCAGCTGGATGTACCTGCTTCCCAGTGAGTGATGTCGTTCCCATCCTGGATTCCACTGCTAGCCACTGCCCATCATTACTAAACATAGTTAAAATAACAGACTATTGTCTAAAATTTGTTTCTGTTCCCATTTAGATTGCTGAAAAGAATATTTTCTTTCAAAGAAATTATTTTTGCTTATCATATACTTTTCTCTGTGCTTAGTATTAAGTGTTTGCCTCGTGAATTGTATCATATTTTTAACTGTAATGAAAAATGTATTTTACGGGTACCATAGGTCAACAGGATTACCTAAATACATTGTAAAGTAACCTCATGACTTGTGATACATATAATCCTGTTACTTCTTTTTTAAATTCCTTGCGTTTTTGATAGAGCTGTGCATCACGAGGTCAGGCTACGTGGGAAGTTCTAACCATATATCCTGAATTTCTTGATTGTTTGAACATTGAGCGTAAGTTACTGGGTCATTATTATTCTCTTGTTGTGATTTAACACTTCCACTGATTTCTATCAATTTCCCACAAAGTGAGACAGTCATATATTTGTCAGGCTCACTTCACTTCTTGCTTCTGTTCATTTTGAATCTGCTAGTTATCGTGTGATCTATATTTTCCTGAATTTTCGACCCCTTGGAGTTTCGAAAAGATTTGAGCAATGGGTACATGATCTTTATTATTTTGTTATTTGCATTTCCCAATGAATGTGAAACAAAATAAATGTTTCAAATGACCTTTCGCTATACTTAAAGCTAATAGCTTCATCGAAATCATAGTAAACCGGAATTTACAATATCCAAGCTCATATATGATAAATTGGCAAGTGTTCTGCGTTGACAAATTGCTGAACAAAGATGTTATCCATGTGTAATGTATAATGTGTGAAGAATATATGAATTACAGATTGAGATTTGTATGTACACATGTGTGTTGATATTTCTTGTCACACGTATATTGATAATGTCAGTATGTGGGAGTCGGTTGAAACCAAGTCAAACTACGTTTTATTTGCTCAATCCCATTTAGACGATTTTGATTCCACCTTGTACGAAGAGATTCTGGTATGAGACGTACTTTATAATTTCTAAAGCCTTTCGGATAATTTCGATATTTAAAAATGTTAAAAATTCTCATTATCAAAATTGGAAGAAGACATATAAGCGAACAATATTGTTTTCGATTAGCTGTCGTCTGGTTTTACGCTAATATACGTAAATCTTATCAGATGTAAAACATTAAACCAATCATAGTGAACTCTTTTGTCTGTGGTAAATAGGACATGAAGTATGCGAATAGCACATATCTAATAATAACCTCAGTGATGATAAGAATAATGGGAACACCACTGTACTGCAAACATTTAGACAATCAATGTAGGTCAAAACTTCGAAAAATAGAAGTTGCGTAGTACTAAAGGATGAAGATATAGCTCATCATAGTCGAGGCATATAATACATGTACGTGAAAGGGATGAAGATAGGGAAGAGGACGAAAATCCAATTTATCTTGGAAGTCATTTATTAAGTTTTTTTCTGACCAAGGCAAAGATAAAGGCTTCACAAATTTTTCCTGTTCACGAAGACTAGAGTTGGTTTCTGTAATTCCTATATCTTCAGCTGTTACATGTGAGTGGGAATTCCATTCGAAAAATTTTGTGGAATGCCATAGATAATTTTAAATGCTATCGTCTCATCTGTTACATGACCATTATTGAATGAATAGTGTACATCACTTTATTATTAATTTTTTCCCCTAGGTTCCTTGTGGAACATAGGGCTTCACTAGCACGCCTCCATTGCACTCTTTTCTCTGTAGTCTTTTCAACCTGGCTCCACCACTGTCCACAAGCTTTCATTTCTTCCTCACATTATCTCCTCCTGTCACCCTCGCCTCGGCCTCCCAACTCATCGTTTCCCGTGCGGGTTCCACTCAAGGGCCTGGCCTGCTGCGTGATGTCCCCAGTCGGCCTCCTCAGTGTATGCCCAATCCATCTCCACTTCCTTCCACTACATATTTGTTGGGTGGTAGGTTCTTGGTTGGTTCGTTCCCAGAGCTCCTTGTTGCATATTCTCATTATTCTGGCCGTCTGATCTTCAGTATCGAACCAGTGTAGACGGCAGCTGTTGATGAATGTCTGTAGTTTGTTAGAAATCCCTTTCGTAACACGCCAAGTCTCTGAACCACATAGCAGCACTGACTTGACGTTGGTATTTAAAATCCGGATCTTGTTCCACATGCTGAGTGCTATAGATCTTCACACTGATTTCAGATTGATGAAGGCCTGTCTTGCTTTTCCGATACTGGCTGGCTTTGACATCCTCGTCTGTGCCTGTGCCACCTGTAGTTGAAACGATGCTGCCTAGGTACGTAGGTAGGTGAAAGAGACTACTTCCTTAAGGTTTCTCCTGTTCATGGTGATTGGTGCTTGTTGCTGATACCGTTGTTGGCTGGGTATCTTCATCACCTCCGTCTTCTCTGCGTTCACCCGAAATCCTGTCATCGCTGCCCTGCCTCTTCTGTCAACTTGTTAGATTTCGTCTGTACATCTTCCAGTTTGTGTGACATTAGACACAAGTCATCGGCGAAATGCAAATCTTCTTCTGGGGTCTTTTCCGCGGTCCAGCCAGCGTATCCTCATCTTCTCGCTCCTCACTGTTTGTTGCATGATCCAGTCAGTTGAACATAATCAGGAATATCATCAGTGATAGTAGACAGCCTTGGTTTACTCCTGTCTTCACTTCAAAAGCATCACTGAGCTACCCGTTGTGAATTACTTGGCATGTGGCGTCTTCATATAGTTGTTGAATGAGGTTGTTAAAGATTTGTGGCACTTGTAGTGTTGAAGTAACTGTCAAATTACTTCTCGGTCGACACTGTCGAAGGTATTTATAAAGTCGATGAAGTTGAGGTAGAGGGTTAACTGCCAGTCGTTCTATACCCTGTTCTATGATGATGTGTAGCGTGGCATTGCAATTTGATCAGCACATGATTTGTTCTTCGTGAATCTAGCCATCCTGTTCCGGTCGTAATTTCGTATCCTGTACATTGTTTAGTATCTCCAGAATGATGCGGACTAATGTTTTGTTTGGGGTGGACAGCAGCATGATTCCGCGCCAGTTGTTGCAAAGGCTTAGGTCTCCCTTCTTTGAAAGTTTGACAAGGTAGCCCTTCTTTCAGCCAATCGGGAGGTACCTTTCCTTCCTTCCAAACCTTCTGTAGTAGTGGTGTGAGCATGTCCGCTGTTGTCTCTGCGTCTATTTTCAGTGCTTCTGGCAGGATTCCATCTGGTCCTGCTGCTTTCCAACATTTCAGTAGCTTTATGGCATTCAGGACCTGCTTTTCTCGGAGGGCTTGTGTTCATCGGTAGTTCTGTGGTCGCTGATGATATTTCTGGACGAGTTGCAGGTAGTGGTCGATTCAAGAGTTTTTTGAAGTGGTCGAACCATCGTTTCCTTTGTTTCTCCTCTCTCTTTGGTAACTAGTTTTCCTGCACTATCTTTCATTGGTTTCATCTGTGTTGCTCTCTTACATCTCAGATAGTAACTTGGTTATTTGATACAATATTGTCAGGTCTCTATCTCTCCTACTTGCAGCCTGTTCTGCTTCACTTGCCAGTGTGTCGTAGAAGTGTCTTTTGTCTTTGGGGCACTCTTCACTTCTTTGTCCAGTGTAGTGTTTTATAGGTTGTGCTCAGTTCCTCTTTTCGTTGTTCATCCCTGCACTGCACTGCACTGGTTCATCTTCTGTTTCACCATCTTCCTCTCCCTCCTCTATCAGCTCCCTTGTGTCCGTCGAGATCCATTCCTTCTCCAGTTTTTTTCTTTATTCCTATTACGGTTATGCGGGTTTCTTTCAGAGAGTTCCAGCGTTCTTCCACGGAGGTTTCTTCAGTGATGTTGCTTAATGTCTGCCATTTTGTTCTGATGACTGACTGACTTGAAGATGTCCTTTGAAGTTTCTTCCTGCAGTTAGTTTCTGTTCTGGGTGTTGAACCTGGACTGTGGTCTATCATCACCAACTTCTTTGAAGGCTTTCAACCTGGTTTGGAAGGAAGGTTCCCTGGACTAGATAGTGAGTGATGTGAACCTACATCTGCTCCCCTTCCTGATCTGATCTTGTGTCCAGTAGGTTGTGTCTCCACTTTCTTGAGATTGCAATGAAGTCGATGTGATTTTTAGTGTGTCTGGTATCTGGTGAAATCAACTGCATGTCGCTGCCTTGTGAATATCCTTGTATTTGTACTCAGTGCCTCCAATCATCAAATCGTTGAATGCGCAGTAGTCTGCAAAGAGTTCTCCATTCCCATTCATAATTTCACCGAGTGCTTCTCGACCCATGACTGGTTTTCTTCCTGTGTTGTCCGCTCCGTTTGGCATTCATGTCACCCATCAGAATGTTGATGTCACCATCTGGGTTGGGGTTTTGTCCAGTACTGATTGCAGTTGTCTGTAGAATTCCTCGTTCTTCTCTTGATCTGCATTATTTGTTGGCGCGTAGCTTTAAATGATTGTGACTGTATATCACTTACCTATTTTCTAATTCTTTCAAATCTTCAAAGTCTAGGTTTACTTGAATATTTATGAAACGAAATTGAAGCACTTTCTCATAGATTTTAATTCCATGTACCGAGAAAATTTGTGAGTAGGATCGATACAGAAGTTCGGTTTGAGAATTCACATACCACTTAACCCGACTTACATCCAATCAATGAGGGCGAAAAGTTAAGTTTGAAGCCAGATTAGTCACTATTACTAGTCGATACGTAAGAGAAATCCCACATTCCAGAACCTTGTCTGAAAAGTTATAAAACATTTGAGAAACAATGGGTTAATTCTAGTATTACAACCATACAAAGGTCCAGGCGTTGTAATAATGAACGATGATGATTGTGTTACGAAGGTGAATACCTTAATGAGTGGCATATTAAGATTCAAGATTGACAGTAGAGAAAAAGACAACTATTTCAGTAAAAATAAGATTACAAAGCAACTGAGGAAATTTCGGGAAAAGTTGACCGATAGTTACACAAAAAACTAACTAAGAGCTCATTGATCTCGTCAACCTCTTATATCTGGTCTACCTGAGATACTTAAGCAAAATGTTCTATCATGACATATGCAGTCAATGATTTGTTGGCTAGGAAAAGGTTGAAACTTGTTCGTTGGAGGTTGGCTAAGTACTGACTGACTATCAAGTGCTAAATGTGTCTTCTGTATCCGAGCTGAGATTTTGTTAGCGACCGCCACGTTCAGGCTTATGCAACTCCCCAAGTAACTGAAGAGGTCGATACATCCCACCACTTCAATCCCTATTATGAAACTGTAAGTACTTCCAGCAGACTAGTCCTGAAGCACCATCTCACATTTCACAGGTGCGAGACTCATGCCAAATATTTTCAGATTCCTGCTTAACGCATTCACATGACCCTGCATTTTGTCAGCATCTTCACGTAGCAGGACAAAATCGTCTGCATGCTGCGAATCAACCAGATGACCTACATGGAGTAGGCCAATGCCTATGAAGTCAGACATACCTCAGATCATGTCTGTAATGAAGTTAAATAGGAACGGTGACAGTGGACATGCCTGGCGGACACATCTAGTTATTATCAGTTTGGATGACGACTCTCTGTAAGCCTCTGTATGGCTGCATGCGTTCCAGTAGAGAGATTTGATTGGCGTTTTAAACTTACTCGGTACTCCGTTCACAGACACTTACAACACCTCACTGTCGACAGAGTCGAATGCCGCTTTCAGGTCATTAAGTATGGAAAGTGTCGGCCGCCAGTTAGTATGCTTGTGTTCCAGAACCTGTCATAGGGTAGAAATCTGATTGGTACATTACCGTGCAGGTTTGAAACCTGTCTGGTTTTCTTATGTTTGCTGTTCTTGAGCTCCAGGTAGGCGCCGGATAACTATGGAGCCTAGAACCTTGCACACTATATTGGTCAAACTAATTCTTTTATGGTTACCTTTTTATAGACTGGGACGATCAATGAAGAACACCAGTCTAACAGCACTTCCTCTGATTTCCACATACTACCTAGTACCTCCATCACTTTAAGCAGCAATTTCCTACCTTCATCCTTGAAAACTTCAGGTGGCAAACTGTCAGGTCCTGCTGCTTTTCATCGTTTCAGGTTCGATACAGCTTTCTAAACTTCAAGGAAAATTGGAGGACTGACATCTACGTCCCTTTCAGGTTCAGGCTGGATGTTGGGCAACTGAAGCGTTCCTGAGAACCGGTTGAACTATGCTTCAAAGTCTTCTGCCCAACGTTGTAGTCACTTATGCTGGAAGGTTATTACGGTACCATGCTTCTCGGAGATTTTTTCACTCAGCATCGTCTTTTTGCCGGTATACTAAATAACTCAGAGCTGATCCCTGTTGTATCTGTTCACCACCCACCATTGCCCGCGATCAACGCGAAAACTCTTGGTCAGCTTACGTTTGAGTTGCTTTGTCTCTTCGTCGTTGTCAGAGCCAGCTGGAATGCGTCTTCTTGCATTGATCAGTTTGGATGACTTTTCGGGAATCGAATGACGTTTGCCAACTTTCGAGTGTAGGTTTCTAGTTTTATTTACCTCTGTTTCTACAGCAGACTTAATATCACCTTAGGCTTCTTCAGATTGGACACCGCTGTCACATTCAGATAAATGCTTACCTACCTCCTACCTAAATACACACTTAACGTTCTCATCTTTCAATCGAGCACAGACAAGTGTAACTGTCACCTGCATGCTGGTATCCAGTCGAGGAGCGCACTTTCTCCTCTACAACTCAATGCCATGCTTTTAACCAACGAGTCCAGTCATTGGGTTTCCGGATACTTTTACGGTGAATTTTGAAGATTTAGCCCTGTTCAGATGGAGTTAACTTAATAACCACACTCGGCGTCTGCATACATGTCTCCGAGACATACAACACATCCATGAGTAGAGATTTCAGAGTTTCAATGAGCGTTGCTCGCTATCCGATTTGACATAGAGTCCGGATTTTGAAAGCTCCTACATGGAATCGATAGCAGGGTCTTAAAAGACTAGAAATGAAGTTTTGATGGCTTTAATCGTTGGCAGTGGTTGCAGAGTGAAAGGCGAAGGCACAGGAGGAGACAGAGTTGAGGAGGATAGTTACGGTTGATTGGGTCTTGTCTACTACTGGGAGTGCGCTAATCGTTGACACTTCTCAGCTGCTCACATAGTGGAAGGCTGTTTATTTTTATGGTACCTGAAAGAGAAAACGACTTGTGACCATAGGGCCTATGGAACATCCATTTTAGGCATGTCACACGCGGAATTTTGCTGGGTGTTGTTTTGAGGTTTGATTGTTCTAACGTTGGATAGACAAACAACCTATACCACCAGCATCGAAAGACTGTGGGGCAGGGAGGAGTGTGCTGTTTTTTGGTCTCATCTTTTCTAACATTCCTTTTCGTTGATAAGACATTATCAGCGTGGCACTGATGGTAATCTAAGAGAAACACGTAACTGCTGTCACATCCTATCCAGCTAACTGCAGTACGACTTCGCCCTCAGATCCCATCATAGTATAGTAATTTACCACACAACGGTAACTGATTTTCGTCTTATCATTATTCAGCAGACCTTTCTGACATGGTAGGACTTCGAGGGAACAAGTTTTCCACCAGCTTAGCTCGTTGGGTCATTGTGATAGGCAAGCCCGACCATCACATCAAGGTAGTAGTTATAGGTCAGGTGGGCTAAGTATACTCTGAAAAACTCTTTCCAGTTAATCAGAACGCTAGAATAGCGTCATATCTTTAAGGTTTTGCTATTGTTTTGATCTAACTCACTTACTGACATAGGTATCTCTTCTTGAAACTACGGATACCTATGAGCACGCTGATCTCTTCCCTCTACCAACACCCGCATTTCAGAAGCGTTTAGTACTTACTAGAGATATCCAATTCTAGCTTCACACTAATGTATGTTGCAAAGTTGATGGATTAGCAATGAACCGATGAAACAACATCCTACTCTAGATACGTCGACGACACGTTCATAGTGTTTAAGGCCTTACACCACGAATCTTATTTGCTTGGAATCTTCAGTAGCCGCACTAAGCGCTAACTTTATAATCGAACACGAAGACAGTAGTAAATTCAACTTTCTGGATATGAATATTCAACGTTAAACAGACCATACACTTCAGAAATCTATTCATCGCAAAGGCATTTTAAATTATATCCACCTGAATTTTAACAATTTCTATCCAGTTGTTTATAAATGAGCATCTGATAAGAATATCACTAATAAGTGAACTTGAAGGAATTATTGCTGCTCGAGAAGTATCTGAAGGGAAATAGATGCTCACAAAATTTAACAAATACAGTGGTAGAGAATGCAGCAAAATTGACTCAATAACGGTTTGTAAGTGGTTTGTCTTCGTTGACTACAGCTTCAGGGCTTATACTGCACAAATCCTCAGGGAAGCTAGTTCTTTTATCTCGAACTAGTTACTCGCTGATATAATCGAAAATCTCAAAGACCCCTTACACGTTGGCTGTGATTGTGTTTACCAATTCACGTGTATTTACACTGAAAGAACAGAAAGAATTGTTTATCTCACTTTTTGAACATGTCACAAAGAGATGATGATTGATAGAAGCAAGTATTTCCAACTACGCATTTACTTAGCTCTTGATGGACACAAGGCGTTAAGTAGGTCCTTTGAAATCGTTCAAAAAGCAGAACAATTCAAATCTTCACCTTATTAAAGTTATTGAAATCACTCAAATGAAATAAGATTTGTTTTTTTTTTTTTGAAAGCAATCTGTTATTGTTACTCTTCAATTTCCCGAGTAACCTATTCTATTGACCTTTCACTCATATGATTACAGTATCGTTCCTTCATAAGATTTTCCGTTCACATTAAACCTCAATATACTGAATTCTACTCATTATTTTTGATCACATTTTGTATTCTGATTACTACTAATTCATTGGATTACGCAATTTATTCCCGTAAGTTCCACAATGCTGTTTTCTTCACCCTTATCTGAGTTTTACGCTAAGTTTAATTCAAATAAGATATGGAGTTATGACGTCACTACATGACATTTTGAATTTATTTCAATGTGCACAGACTACTGATTCACAAATGTGTAGCAATACTACACGACTGAATATTTCCGGAGATAAGACAGGTTTTAAAAAAGTGCTAGTTGATTTTCTGTGTAAAGCATTTATTCCTACCGTCACATATTCTTTTGAGCATTTTGAAAATGCATATGTATGTTTCAAAATCACTACTTACCAAGAGTTATCAACATCTGAGTGTATTTTGTTTTAAATCGATGTCAGATATCTCATTTAATCATAAACAATAACTAGTGTTCTTTATACGTGGAAGAGTTGGGACTTTTGAAATAAGGGTTAAATGAAAAAACCTCATTGCAATTAACTATTTGTAAATTTCATTGTGTACAATCAGTACAGGCTTATCAGGAGATTATCGTTTTGTATACATACACGTAGAAGATAATCAATGCATTGAAACAAAAAATTTATTTGGCAAAATGAAACTCACTATAACCATGAATGTTTTGGCATTTGAGCCTTTTCATCGAAACACATCCTAGTGAATTGTGGAAACTTTTCTACGTTGAAGGTACTAGTTCATTTTTGGAAAGATTTTTCTTAGATGTCGTTCACATTACTCAAAGGTTAATTTTACTGTGAATGGTCCAATCAATTCTGCTCATGAATATAAAGCGGTCCAGAAGAAACAGTGTATCACAGATTTAGTTGAAAAAACTAAAAATGAAATGGTGCAGTTATGCTTGAAATCTTACAATACTAGAATACGGTACAATAAAGCAAGGTATAAGATAGAAAAAGAAACAAATAAGACATTGAGTCTGAAAGTGGCCGGATGATTTTTGAAACCGTCAAAGACAGAGTCAGAAACATGTGTCTGAAAGCAAATAAGCAGTTGCGTCAAGCAGTTCACCAGGAGTAAAATTGTAGGAAATGCATACTATGATGTAAAATGTGCAAGACAAACAGAAGTTCTATAAATTGACATGTATGCTATGTAAAGTAGATAACAGTAGAAGCAATATAGTCATGAAAAGAGACAATGAAACCCATTCTTTGAATCTAAAAGACTGGATAGTAATATCATCACAACCAACTATCCTTTTGCACCTCAGATTAGTAAGTAGTAAACTATTAGAGATACAGTAATACGGTATTTTTTAAATTTTTTTATATATTTGAACTATTTGTAACTGAAACTTAGTTGCTGAAACAGATTTAATCGCCATGCGTTTCACAATGACTGAGCGAATTAAAGATTTTTGTGAATGGGCACCATCAGTTTCTGGATATGTGGTTGAAGCGAAAATTTCGATGACAGCATTGGACCAGAGTTTTATGCAGTTGAAGTTTACATCATCCTTTCTTGAGGAAGAAAGTCAAGAAGCTAATCTAGTCAGTATTCTATCACGTTTGCAATCATTTCGTCAAGTACGTCAACTTTTTATGTCCATAAATAATTAGTAGTTCATTAGATCACAGTTTTTACAATGTATAATACATTTTGAGAGCAGAAAGTGTTGAACGATGGGGATATACATTTTGTCCGTAATCACTTGTTAGCAATGCCAAACAACTCACTTTTGTTTAATATACCTGTATACGCATTACGTAGTCCGGTATCGACCAATTGATATTTAACAATATCCAAAGCGAATAAGAAGTTCGAGTCGAAACTCGAATTGTCTGATATTTTATTCCACACCTAAAAAAACAAATCTTCGTGCGAACCTAACTAAAAGTGCTCTTAAGCATCCCTTCACAAAGAACAGGCTATCAGAATCACGTTTCAAGTATGCCAAATCAACTACAATCCTGCCTGACCTTTTTTAAGGTGAATCACTTTAATTTATGAGATAGGGAACAATACTGATGAATAAGTGGAGTATACTAGACTTCTTGTTACTCTGTAATACTATAGTTGTAAAACGTAGGTTTTAAAGTAAGAGGCTCATGGTATGTTTGGTAATTTCCAAACCACTGAGACTATACCCTTTCTGCTTACATTTTATCAATGACTGGGGTACTCATTCACTTTATGGTCTGGAATGTGGTAGAACGAATAATGAAGAGAGTTTGACCACAAAGTCGTAGTCCTATTATCTAGCCGTCATATAGTGTTTGACCACCTCTGCCTTCGTAGTATAGGCCATGTTTCGTGGTGTCACCACGTGAATAACGTAGAAGTCAGGTGGAGAGTTTTAAGGAGGTGAGGTAAGTTAGTAGACACTGTTGAGAACCTTCATCAACCGAGATGGTTGGGACATGTGTTACGTATGTCTAGTCGCCTGCTGCCTCGTCATACAATATTCGGCGAAGTGGTTCCAGGCTGGTAAAAGGCTCGAAACGGCCAGACTAAAACACGACATCAATGTATGAAGTCTTTGACTGTGGGTTTGAGCCATGTGGGGCGATGCAGACTGCGTGGTTGGGGTCCGCGGGACAAGACCGACTCTAGGTGATATGGCTGAAAACCGATATGAGTGACGCAGATGTGTAGACATATTATCCTCACACTCGCCACTATATCTAATCTCATCATCTCGTTCTTCCTTTTTTTACTACTTTCCACTTCCTTTTTTCTTTCCTTCTTCAAATTCAATGTTATTACCTTGTTACTTGATGTGCTGACGTGAGGTATCGCGGCTTGGACCGTTGCGCAGTGATGCCTGGTCTAATGTTGATCTTGATGAAATAAAGTGTTAATTCACTGTATTTGTGAATTAGTTAAAGATGAAACAGATCAAGAATGCCTTGAAGTGAATGCATTTTGAACTTCATTGTCTTGTATTGCTACTCAATGCAGTAGTGCTGCTAGGTTTTATCCGAAAGAAAAACTTGATACAACTTTAATATAATTGGATGTATCATATAAAACAGTGACTGTATCACAAAATGGTGAAAGGAATTATCTCAATGACGTCATTATTTTCAACAAAAGAAACAATTTAAATCACCTCAGATTTCAAGGAGTTCTCTCATTTCTAAATATCATATTGCAAGCCTATAGGGCAAAATAATTATTGAAAGAAAGGTGTATAGTAACTCAAACATTTTTTAATTTCTGGTAAATTCATAGGTCGTTGAATCACTAGATTTCTGTGAAATGAACTGCAATATTGAAACTCATTTACTAAACAACGATATCCGCTATCTACAACTCATACCACTGCACATTAGTTTCAATGGCTAGTTCAGAACACTTTAAAAACAAACTAAAAGTGAAGAATTTAATGCAGTGTCTCCAGGGAAAAAAATTCTATTGGTAGCTCAAAGCCCAAGCAGGCCGCTATTGTTAGTAGATGATTAATTATAGAAATTGTATCTAACTATGCTTTTAATTTTCTGTGTATCACACTCTTTGAAATGAATTTCTTGGTATAACAACTATACCTTGGAAAAATTCTGATATACCTTTTTGTTATATTATTCTGGTTAACTGTCCGATCATGTACACTTTTTGGTTTAACACAAAGAAAATCTAAACAAGTACATTGACATGCTATTTACTTTCATTAGGCTAATTAGTTTGCCAACTCTGGCCATCTCTCTAAATTGTCAGGAATATCTTCAGCATAAATTTCGTTTCTATTCTGTATTTCATGACTGAGAGTAATCACTTTGTTGTGTCGCGATTCAGTAACAAGTTTCCTTTTGTAGCTATATGGCATTGTTATCGATAACATTTATTGGTTTTCATAACTATCTCAATAAATTACTCTGATAACTGAATTCATGATTTCTTTTCATAGCATCAACTTGGGAAAATAGCTTAACTTTTCGTACTCATTCCCCTTTATAAACTTGAAAAGAGAAAGAACAACAATTGAGGCTGAATAACATGATACCATTTTATTTCGCCGGTTTCTCGTCAGTTGCTTACAACCTTACAACGTTTAAATTGTCATATCACAAAAGAATTAGGACATAACTTTTACAGTTAGATGAAATTAGTTAAAAGGGAAAGGCATGTGATTTGATAATAATTATCAACATCCTCATAAAGTTAACGAGACATGTTAAGAGTTTTCAGTTAAATATGTGATTCAACAGAGAGTTTGAGGAAATATGAATGTTAGTAAAGAATTATGTAAGAAGGTTGAATCAGCTAGTTGATGATAAAGAACAGAAAAATGATGTAATAATAATATGTTAGATGTTAGTTGGATGGAGGCAATATGGAGTTGAACTCAACTAAAATCAATAAACTAATAATTTACTCCTCTTATTTCATGGCATCATCTTTTGACTGTTCGCAAATAATTCTGATGATCGTTCTACTAACTGAGTTCAACTCATTTTATTATTGCGTCATTTTTCTGTTCTTTATCATCAACTAACTGATTCAACCTTCTTAAGTAATCCTTTACTAACATTCATATTCTTTTCTCAAAATCTCTATTGAATCACACATTTACCTGAAAACTCTTAACATGTTAACTTTATGAGGGTGTTGGTAATTTTTTATCAAATCATGTCCCTATCCCTGTTAACCAACTTCATCATTTTGTAAAATTGAAGGAAACGGGAAGATTGAGAAGCAGGAAGGAATGTTTATGATTGACATCTTGTACAGTAGTCATCAAATATTGTACACCTTTCACTAAGACAGTCATTTGCGTATTGTGCTTCATTTCCTTTTCTGCTTCTATCTTGATTTGCTCTTAATACGCCCATCTTGCCTTCTGCATTTCTCTGGACAGAATCTTTACTTATTGATGGTAATTGCCTATGATTTCAGCCACCCTCTTAACATCTACTACTTATATTCATCCTGATCAGCAACGCCCACTTCAGTATGACATTTAAATGTTGTTAGGCTGTAAGCAACTGACCAGAAACCGGCGAAATGAAATAGTATCATGTTCTGTTGCAATTGTCGTTCTCCCCCTATTCAAGCTAAACTGGATTATGAATTCGCTACCTGAGATAGCTTTTATCGACAATCATATCTGTATATACAAAGGGGGGATGGCGCTTGTAGGTAAATTAAAGGTAAATTACTACAATATTTGAACCAGCGGTTTCGTTTATTATTCTCATCATCTGAAAATATGTTATTGAAGTATGAGAACTTAAGTGTTCGGTACTTCGGTATGCGTTTAGAAATATAGGCATTAGAAGAAGAAAAGCTAGATGAAACTTCTCACACTTTTGGGAGTTACACAAAAATATGCATTTTATGCATCTGTTGTCATTTTAGTCTCTAACATTAATACTTTTTCTTCTTTCTAGTTTTTGTTAATTTTATGTTCCGTGGTATATGTCTTCATCCGCTTGTTTCAGGTAAAATGTTTATTTGTATTAACGTTTTCTTATGAATTTTACAACGCTAGCTTTCCTTATGATCAAGGAAGTATATTTCTTAGGATGATGCTCACATTTTATGCTTGAGGGAATTGCTAGCATACATCTATTAACCGCTTAATTCCTCACTGAAGTTACTTAACGAAAACTTCATTTAACACTGTACTCATTTTCAGTATCTTGAGAGGAAATTTGGAAAGACGATTGATTCTAATACTCAGTCTACTGTGAACTGTCAACATTTTGGTCCCATCGCAAATTCGCCTATAAGTATAGAATCCATCAAGAATGAAAGTGCATCTCAAAAAAATTCAGGGCCAAAACTGATTGAGGTAAATTTTGGAAACTATATTTGATTATCTTTTGTAGAAGTTGAATCCTAAAAGCTGTAAAAAGCCCAATACTTCATATCAATCATCGGTTGCCTATTCTCCAATTATGCACGAAAGTGAAATACATCCTTTGGTTTTGATAGAGAAAGACATGTCATTTCAAATCCATGATAATGTAAGTGTAGCATCACCCAAAGCAGAGGAATCTTCATTTGGTTTTTTTCGTGAAATTCTTACACCGGTTGATTCAGTGTGGACATATGAAAGTTCGAGTAGTATTCGTTCAAGGACGAATGATAAGCTTCACCAAAAACTCTCTCCTACCAGTATAATTTCAAATAAAAAAACAATAGAAGCTTATTTGGATAAATCTACACCGGAAAAGCATCGTAAGGCGTAAGTTCTGTGTGTAATACTTGTTGGATATCTTATTTCAGGTTTTTTTTTATTCGTTTTGGATTAAAACTGCTTTTCTTCTTCGTTACGGATTCATGCATTTATTGAATATCTTTTCTAATCTCGTCAAAATTTCAAGTATTTTTTTTTAAATTCCAGATCCTTGCAAACTTCTCCAGTAGTTTCTCTAAACGTACTGGAACCCATAATTAAACACGATTTGAGTAACGTCGAACAAGAAAGCCCTAAGAACACTAGTTTGATGTATGCTGAAGGTTAGTATTACCTTCATTTACTTTTAAGTTAACTGAGTTGTTTTTATTGAACATCAACTCACATCAAGCATGTACTGGCTCATAAAGCATATGTTGACTAAAGTAATGAGTCACAGGTACGAATTACATTCTACCTAACAAGTTTTGGGCAAGAAGATAATATCAAGAGCCCTCATGCAATAGATTTGACTACAGGCCTTTTTACATATCATGAATCAAAATGTAAATAGATTGGTTCTATTAATTTACTGGAATTTCAAATCTAAATTATACTGCTACTGAACAAATACCTGCTTTATGAAAAATAAACATATTACGCCAGACGATTTTAAATTTCTTACGGAGTTATTTTTAGAAAGGAAAGCTTCCGGAGAAATTCCACTTTCATTGTCATGTATCTGTAGTTCCTCTTTTAAATATTTTTACCACTTTGGATTTCGCTGAGTATCGAATCACAGAAGACTTACCATTCATACTATGTCTGTCCACAATAAATTCAGGTTTCTTGAGAGATGGATAAATATTGGTTGTAAAGTTGTGAAAAACGATTATCAAAGTTTTGTTTCCATGTCTCTGACGGCTTCGTCTTTCATAAGTATATCTGCATTTTTCGATAAATCTGGCCTAAGTTATACCATCGTTGGTTAATTAAATTAACCACACCTAGTGTTAGTTTCTATAGGCGACATGAATGCCAAACTGGGAGCGGACAACACAGGAAGAGAACTAATCATGGGTCGAGAAGCGCTCGGTGAGGTGATGAACGAGAATGGAGAATTGTTTACAGAATTCTGTGCATTCAACGATTTGGTGATTGGAGTCAGGCAGTGTGTCCAACCACAAGGATATCCACAAAGCAACATGGATATTACCATTCACCAGATAGACACACTGAAAGTCAGATTGACTTTATCTCAATGTGAAGAAAATGGAGACGCAGTCAGCCTACTTGACACAAGGTCAAGAGGAGGAGGAGGAGCATATGTAGGTTCACACCACTCACTATCTAGTGCAAGGAATCTTCCAAATCAAGTTGAAAGCCTTCAAGGAAGCTGGTGGTGATAGACCGCAGTTCATCCAAACTGATAATAACTAGATGTGTCCGCCAGGCATGTCCACTGTCACCGTTCCTATTTAACTTCATTACAGACATGATCTGAGGTATGTCTGACTTCATAGGCATTGGCCTACTCCATGTAGGTCATCTGGTTGATTCGCAGCATGCAGACGATTTTGTCCTGCTACGTGAAGATGCTGACAAAATGCAGGGTCTTGTGAATGCGTTAAGCAGGAATCTGAAAATATTTGGCATGAGTCTCGCACCTGTGAAATGTGAGATGGTGCTTCAGGACTAGTCTGCTGGAAGTACTTACAGTTTCATAATAGGGATTGAAGTGGTGGGATGTATCGACCTCTTCAGTTACTTGGAGAGTTGCATAAGCCTGAACGCGGCGGTTGCAAACAAAATCTCAGCTCGGATACAGAAGACACATTTAGCACTTGATAGTCAGTCAGTACTTAGCCAACCTCCAACGAACAAGTTTCAACCTTTTCCTGCCAACAAATCATTGACTGCATATGTCATGATAGAACATTTTGCTTAAGTATCTCAGGTAGACCAGATATAAGAGGTTGACGAGATCAATGAGCTCTTAGTTAGTTTTTTGTGTAAGTATCCGTCAACTTTTCCCGAAATTTCCTCAGTTGCTTTGTAATCTTATTTTTACTGAAATAGTTGTCTTTTTCTCTACTGTCAATCTTGAATCTTAATATGCCACTCATTAAGGTATTCACCTTCGTAACACAATCATCATCGTTCATTATTACAACGCCTGGACCTTTGTATGGTTGTAATACTAGAATTAACCCATTGTTTCTCAAATGTTTTATAACTTTTCAGACAGGGTTCTGGACTGTGGGATTTCTCTTACGTATCGACTAGTAATAGTGACTAATCTGGCTTCAACTTAACTTTTTGCCCTCATTGATTGGATGCAAGTCGGGTTAACTGGTATGTGAATTCTCAAACCGAACTTCTGTATCGATCCTACTTACAAATTTTCTCGGTACATGGAATTAAAATCTATGAGAAAGTGCTTCAATTTCGTTTCATAAATATTCAAGTAAACCTAGACTTTGAAGATTTGAAAGAATTAGAAAATAGGTAAGTGATATACAGTCACAATCATTTAAAGCTACGCGCCAACAAATAATGCAGATCAAGAGAAGAACGAGGAATTCTACAGACAACTGCAATCAGTACTGGACAAAACCCCAACCCAGATGGTGACATCAACATTCTGATGGGTGACATGAATGCCAAACGGAGCGGACAACACAGGAAGAAAACCAGTCATGGGTCGAGAAGCACTCGGTGAAATTATGAATGGGAATGGAGAACTCTTTGCAGACTACTGCGCATTCAACGATTTGATGATTGGAGGCACTGAGTACAAATACAAGGATATTCACAAGGCAGCGACATGCAGTTGATTTCACCAGATACCAGACACACTAAAAATCACATCGACTTCATTGCAATCTCAAGAAAGTGGAGACACAACCTACTGGACACAAGATCAGATCAGGAAGGGGAGCAGATGTAGGTTCACATCACTCACTATCTAGTCCAGGGAACCTTCCTTCCAAACCAGGTTGAAAGCCTTCAAAGAAGTTGGTGATGATAGACCACAGTCCAGGTTCAACACCCAGAACAGAAACTAACTGCAGGAAGAAACTTCAAAGGACATCTTCACGTCAGTCAGTCATCAGAACAAAATGGCAGACATTAAGCAACATCACTGAAGAAACCTCAGTGTAAGAATGCTGGAACTCTCTGAAAGAAACCCGCATAACCATAATAGGAATAAAGAAAAAAACTGGAGAAGGAATGGATCTCGACGGACACAAGGGAGCTGATAGAGGAGGGAGAGGAAGATGGTGAAACAGAATATGAACCAGTGCAGTGCAGTGCAGGGATGAACAACGAAAAGAGGAACTGAGCACAACCTATAAAACACTACACTGGACAAAGAAGTGAAGAAGAGTGCCCCCAAAGACAAAAGACACTTCTACGACACACTGGCAAGTGAAGCAGAACAGGCTGCAAGTAGGAGAGATAGAGACCTGACAATATTGTATCAAATAACCAAGTTACTATCTGAGATGTAAGAGAGCAACACAGATGAAACCAATGAAAGATAGTGCAGGAAAACTAGTTACCAAAGAGAGAGGAGAAACAAAGGAAACGATGGTTCGACCACTTCAAAAAACTCTTGAATCGACCACTACCTGCAACTCGTCCAGAAATATCATCTGCGACCACAGAACTACCGATGAACACAAGCCCTCCGAGAAAAGCAGGTCCTGAATGCCATAAAGCTACTGAAATGTTGGAAAGCAGCAGGACCAGATGGAATCCTGCCAGAAGCACTGAAAATAGACGCAGAGACAACAGCGGACATGCTCACACCACTACTACAGAAGGTTTGGAAGGAAGGAAAGGTACCTCCCGATTGGCTGAAAGAAGGGCTACCTTGTCAAACTTTCAAAGAAGGGAGACCTCAGTGTTTGCAAGAACTGGCGCGGAATTATGTTCCACGCCTGTCCACTCAGAGCAATCAAAATATTAGACGGCATCATCCTGGAGAGACTAGAGGATGCGCTGGATTCAAAACTACGACCGGAACAGGCAGCCTGGCTGGATTCAAGAAGTACAAATCATGTGCCGACCAAATCGCAACGCTTCGCATCATCACAGAACAGGGTATAGAACGACTGGCAGTTAACCCTCTACCTCAACTTCATCTACTTTATAAATACCTTCGACAGTGTCGACCGAGAAGTAATTTGACAGTTACTTCAACACCACGGAATACCACAAATCTTTATCAACCTCATTCAACAACTATATGAAGACACCATATGCCAAGTAATTCACAACGGGTAGCTCAGTGATGCTTTTGAAGTGAAGACAGGAGTAAAACAAGGCTGTCTACTATCACTGATGATATTCCTGATTATGTTCAACTGACTGGATCATGCAACAAACAGTGAGGAGCGAGAAGATGAGGATACGCTGGCTGGACCGCGGAAAAGACCCCAGAAGAAGATTTGCATTTCGCCGATGACTTGTGACTAATGTCACACAAACTGGAAAATGTACAGACGAAATCTAACAGGTTGACAGAAGAGGCAGGGCAGCGAAGACAGGACTTCGGGTGAACGTAGAGAAGACGGAGGTGATGAAGATACCCAGCCAACAACGGTGTCAGCAACAAGCACCAATCACCATGAACAGGAGAAACCTTAAGGAAGTAGTCTCTTTCACCTGCCTACGTACCTAGGTAGCATCGTTTCAACTACAGGTGGCACAGGCACAGACGAGAACGTCAAAGCCAGCCAGTATCGGAAAAGCAAGACAGGCCTTCATCAATCTGAAATCAGTGTGAAGATCTATAGCACTCAGCATGTGGAACAAGATCCGGATTTTAAATACCAACGTCAAGTCAATGCTGCTATGTGGTTCAGAGACTTGGCGTGTTACGAAAGGGATTTCTAACAAACTACAGATATTCATCAACAGCTGCCGTCTACACTGGTTCGATACTGAAGATCAGACGGCGAGAAAAATGAGAATATGCAACAAGGAGCTCTGGGAATGAACCAACCAAGAACCTATTTCAGAATAACTATGCAGAGGTAAGTGGAGATGGATTGGGCATACACTGAGGAGGCCGACTGGGGACATCACGCAGCAGGCCAGGTCGTCGAGTGGAATCCAGATGGGAAGCGACGAGTTGGGCATACGCGGTGATGTTGACATGGAGGAGATAGTGTGTGGAAGAAATGAGAGCTTGTGGGCTGTCGTGGAGCCAGGTTCAAAAAATTTAAGAGAACATAATGCACTGGAGACGTGCAACTGTACTGTAGCCCTATGTTCCATTAGGAACCCAAGGGACAAATAATAATATAATAATAGTGTTAGTTTCTACACTCAGTTAAAAGTTGATGGAATAGGTAAAGACCAGAATGAATTGAAATGTTTATATTTTTGACGTAAATCTTTTCTAAGAAGGTAATTGTTATGCACAGGCCGCTATTTTGCACCTTGGTATAAATAAACCAAGTTTCCCATTCATGTTAGATCATTATTCCTGCGCACAACTATGCGTTTACTAAATTCATTTGTCCTGAGGGCTCTTTGGTGTACTCTTCCTAATTCCATTGCGCTTACTTCACTGTCAGCTATTGAATGATATCGTAAACCCAAAATGAAGGTTTCGTAACTTTGTAAAGGAATTTGATTTGGAAATTCAAAATTTCAAGTCTTCAATTTTTGATATATTCTAGACAACTTCTGCAGCATTTATTGACCTGCTTTAGAGAAATATTAAACATCCGTATCTAGCAGTCTTGCAAATAAAGGTTGTTGATAAATCACATATAATGCTTTGTTGCTTTTACTGTCCACTTGCTTCTTTTTCTTAGTAATAGTCTATGAAGGTTTAATTAGAATGATTCTGTACTAAACAGAACAATAGATCTTTTGACAACATAAGGGGGTTAAAGAGTTACCAACTTTCCCTTTACACTCTTGTGTAATTCCTTTCATGATTATCTACGCAAGGCAATTTTTTGGGGTGGATAAGAGTTAAACTGTACATTTGTTGTTAGAAATTTTTAAGTTGACCGTTGATCTCCTTACTACCCGTGACTGACTGTTAAGTTTAGGCTTTTTTTCATTCCATTGGAGCTATGGTATAACCTACTGCCGCTTGTAGTAAGTAGTGTCAAAGTCGTAAGCTAAGTCATATTTTGGTGACCCAGCTGAGTGAATAATTGACTAGACATCAGCACAGTAATATTCACCCACACTCAAATTACTATTACGACAGTGAAGTTGACCGGTTTTTTCTGGTGTAATCAAAACCTTTTGAAGTTTCCTGTCTATTTCACTGTAACTTTTGTGGATAATGTAGAACTTTAAAATAAGTTTATTATTTAGTGTTGTTGCTTGTCTCATACCGTCGTTGATTGGACCGAATTGATCAGTGTCTGTTGGCATATGAGCTCCTACGCGAATGACCAATCAACAACAGTATGATACAAACAATAACACTAAAACTATACCCGTTGCTCAAGAAGTGGCTATCGTGGTTTGGTTGTCTAGTGGACAACGCTTTGGCGTTTGAAGCGATTGGTCACGAGTTCGAGTCCTGGTGGAAACAATATCACTCACTGGGGTGCAGGTGCATCCTCCTGACGAGTCCCAAATAGGATGAAACATGCATCCTGGACTCCACTGCTAGCTACTATCCATCATTAATATAAGTTAACCATTATTTATCTAAATAGTTGCTTCAGGCTTGCCAAAAAAGTCCGCGTTGATTTTTTTTTTGTTATATTCTATTCCATACTAACATTACATTTACTGAGATTAACAATCAACCGCAATGAAAATTTTGTAATCACCTTGCATTCTCTTTTCTGGGCTTAAATTTCGTAGCTGCTATCAGTTCAGGTCCCTGTGAAGAGTATGTGGATAAATTGTCTTCTACCGCCTCATCTGCTAGGGCTGTCTGCCAATTGTTGAGTATGAGCGAAAATGTAAATCAACTCATTACTATTTCAAAAGAACCACAAATTCACACACCTGAAGTGATTTCTGATAGTTCACCTTATCTTAGTCCGACTGAATCCCTCAAAGGTGATGTTGCTTCAAAATCCCAAGTGAGTGATTTTATAATCGTTGTAATTATGTATTGAATTTCTTTTAGCAACTCTGTCTTAAGCTTCAGGTCATCTAGAGAATCCATCTCACATTGTATTTTCATGATGTATGTAAATGTTACTGCTTGTCCAAGTGCTCGAAAGTGAAAGTTCGTAGCTTTTACCTTCAATCTACGGTTTCATTGTCTTTATATACATAAAGGCACATTCAGTTACTAAAGCATTTCGTTGCTAAATAATCACACAAATAATCTTAGGTCTCTGTTCATTGAAGTTTGGGTTTCATCATATATCTTCATGAGGCTATGGTCTTTACATCAAACTGATTAATCGTGTAAACATGAATAACCTATAACTATAGTTGATCACTGTTTCCAAAGTGGTGTAAAATAGAAGAATGAAGCCAGAACCAGACTGTTCAACTGAAGTTAGATTTGGCATATTAATTCTGAAAATAAATCATTCCATTCCATATTGTTAATTTCATAGTAATGAGCAAGTCGTCACTTTTGTACAGTTCACTGTATTGAATTTCGTCAATGAGAAGTGAAAGACTATTTCGTCTAGTGTGGTAGTTTTCAATTTACTTAGACTACCCATGACAGTCTAAAATCCCATATTTTATCTCTTCTATTTTCCGTAGTTTGATGATCTATAAAAATGTCTTAGTGACACAAAGTTTAGCTAGCTATGTGTCTCACATATCTTGTCAACTAGTCGATCTAGTATATTAGGTGTTGTTTACATGAATTAGACAATATTTATTTGCTTATGAGTTATAAATGCATTTTATGGGTTTGGATTTAGAAAATTTATGTTTTTGCTGATTTTAAACTTACTAGAATTATAAAATTTTTAACAGGTTATTGAGAAACAATCTGTTTCAAATTTGTGTGTAACAGAACCTGATGTATCAAAACCAGACAGTTCATTTTCACTTTCATCTTTCGTGACTGAGGATTGGCCAAATCAAGAAGTTTCTTCCTCTTTGGAACCCATCGCTTTTAAACCTAACACCAGCAGTAATTCTGCGCTAATTGGTAAGAAATATAGCACATCGTCAAAACATTCTGTATGCGTTCGAACGAAAAAACTTTGCGATGTATCAACATCCTACATACTAGATGTTTCACCGGCTGAAGTTACTTATCCACTTACTCCTGAAGAATATACAGGTACTTTATTGATACGAATAACATAATTTATGTTATATGTGCAATACAGTTATATCCTAATAATGAAGTAATCTGCTAAGTGTGATAGTTTTCTTGTCAACTTACCACATTTCATTACAGTTGAATGCGGCTCATCTGACTAAGTTAACACAGCTTACTTCACGTTTGACTTTAGCATCTATAGAAACCTTTTAGAATAACATTTCTTAGTACTTCAATTCTAAGGTTTGTGAGGGATTTATTGATCGCAGGTTGGTATTCATTTCTTAGCTACTCTTCAACAGTGATTAATTTTTAGAAAGTCCAGTAAAGGCGAGATGCTAAAAAGAATAAGACCACCAACCTGTAAATAATTAACAACAGGTGATCATGTTAGCAAACAGGCATGAAAAATTTTTACAGCGAATGATGTATATGTCGTGAACTTTCCTTCCAAGAAATTGACAATTTCCATACACAAAGTACATTTGGAACTTATTGTTGACCCATAATATGAAAAACAAAGATTAGAATGTGATTCGAACAAAAAATCTTTCATTATTTCAATAAACAGTTATCTTTATTTGTAGTTGTATGAATCCATATTGTATCACACAATTCCGGATGAAATGAACAATATCCTGTTTAATTATTTATTCATTGATAAATATTCAAACAAGTCTACTTCTACATGAATTAGCGATTATCAAGTTTATCTTCCTAATATTCATTCATGAACTGATTGTTATTGATACCTAAACGTCACTTTTTCAGTATACAAATTCGGCCTGGCATTACTATATACCGCTCCAAGTTGTTGTACTACATATCAGCACATCGACTTAAGAGATACTAAAAAGAAAGGTAGGGAAATAAGAAGTAAATTAATTAGGAATAGTAGAAAGTTAAAAGAAGACGGGAATGGAGTAGGAGGGTAACGCAATAATGAAATGTTGATATGGTAATTAAGATGAAGATAATGTGTGGATCTATCTGCGTCTCTGAGATTGATTCTTGGCCATATCACCTAAAGTCTCCAACCACCGATATGTGTCGTCATCTACCCCCAATACTGAGACCAACAATTAAAGATTTTATCAGTTCACATTATACATTAGTTTGCCTGCCTCTACTGTTCCCCAACCTAAACATAAAATTTAAATAAGATGAAATTGACCAATTTCTTAAAGAAATTGAATTTTCTTGCCGATGGATAGATGATATATTTGGTCTAAATAAAAATACCACATCTATACATGAGGTACACAGAAATATATTAATGATGTATAACTTTGATATTTTTCCAGCTTAAATTCGTTGTAGCCAATACTGCTCAATGGCGTAATCAGTGACTAGACACGCGTAGCGTATGAAACAAAACAAAGCAGCAGGACTTGACGGGTTGGTGACCCGAGGCTTTTCAGGATGGGGATAGGAAACTACTGAGGAGAGAAATAGGTACTAGGTGGTGTATGGGAATTTGAAGTAGTCCCGTCACATTGGTCTACATCAGCGATCGTTCAGGAATATAAGAAAAGATAGAAACCTTCTTGTGACATTCTTATGTGAATCAGTTCAACTAACATTGTATCCAACACCCTTGGGTTCATAGTCATGCGATGCTTAAAGGTAGCTCAAGAAAGGCAAAACTGAGAAAACCGAGCAGGTTTCAAACCTAGACAATGGTGTATTGATCATACTTTTATCCTACGATAAGTTATGGAACACAGTTATACCTATCTACATGCTGGACACTTGCCTTACTGCTTGACCTGAAGGCGGCATTTGATTCTGTCGACCATGGGGTGTTGTGGCAGTGTCTGACTGTGAAGGGAGTACCGAGGAACTATATAACACTCATGATATTCATTAACTTCTTTCACCTTAAACTTTGTATCTAATCTCTCCATTATTAACGTGAGGGTTCCACAACACGACAAATAATACGAAGGCGATGGTGATTGAACACCTGAAGCCTCTTCGTGTCCTCTAACTTAATTCATCATATTTTAAAGTGATATAGTAGAACGAAGAGGGTGAACTGCAGTTCAGTACACTCGATACTTATTGCGTAATCGAACATCTCATCGACACCATGCATGGCATAAGTTGCCAAAGACCAAGGAAGCCTTTGGTATCTGTACAGGGATTTCGTTACTCACTGACCACCCATCAAGATTGATATGAGTTCTTGAGTAAATGCAGTAGGTAACGCGTTCAACCACTCCACTGTCTTGTTAGACAAGGCATAGGTAAGGATCAGTCCAGTCGTGGCGCAGCAATTTGCTTCCAGGTGCTGGAAAACATCCCAAACCAACTTAATTTGTATCGAAAGGTCGCCAGCAGATTATGTATTTTGCCAGCACCTTCACTTAGCAGAATTACGTCATTTGCGTACTTTAGGTCTACTAGGAAGTCTCCAATGACAAGGTCAGTCACCAATGAACGCCACTCAGTGTATAGACAACTCACATGATAGTGCACCGCAGGCTACAACGCTCTTACAGGTATTCAAACACTAAGTCTTCAACTGGGTGATGTAATTACGGAGCACCAGTTTTCATGAGAGACACTGCCATAAGATGTTTGGACCGAGGGCGTTAAATGTAGCCTTCAGACCACGAAGTACTTTTATTGTTTGACTTCGGTAAATGTGCATGTGTTCCTAGAGCTGGTGTAATGTGGAAGTGTTGTTGACACACCTATGACTAAGTCTGAAACCTGCCTGGTTTTCTCAGGTTCGCTGTTCCTGATCTTCATTCAGGCATCTAATGATTATAGATCATGGAATTTTAAACACTGCGTTATTCAGGCTGATCCTCTGAGGTTATCACAAGGGGATTACTTACTTTTCATGAAAACTGAGTGAGACAGTGATTGTCCGGGACAAGTCAGGGGGCAGCGCGTCTGGTCTCCATATGCTAGCTAATACTTCAGTTAATCTGATGAGTATTCATTCATCAATTGCAATCCGTAAATACCTCTGACACTAGTCTATCGGAGGTTGTTGCCGTTTTCTCGTTTCAGATTACCTTCAGCCTTGTCAACTGCAAGTGTTAGAGACTCTATGTCAATATCTCATCCAGGATGTTACTGGAAAGGTGGCAAGCGGAGTGTAGGTGGAGGTCATTTGAACTGTTCCTCGAAGTGTTCCATCCATCCTTCCAGTTATTTCTGCTGCGATTGAATTTCTGACGTGTCCTTCTCCACTATTGTCTCACTAATCAGCTAACATTTTCACCTGTTTCCTTGATGAGTCTAAGCAGATGCTTTCTATCTCTCTAACCTTCTCTATCCATCATTGTTGGTGGTTATTGCGTAGACTTCTCATCAGTCTACATTTAAGTGGCTTCCACTCTTCCTTGTCCTTGGGGCCATCAGGAACGCTTTAATGTTTGTCCATTATTTGAGAAGTTAGTGAGTCTTTCTAACCCTTACTTAGGGCTTTTTACTGTCTTCAGTACTGCCTTTATAGCCGACTGGCTCTTTGAAAATGAGTGGCGTTTTTCTATTTCGATAAGTCTTGTGTCGGCTTTTTTTTGAAAGAGGTTTTCTTGTCTGCATAATTGAGCTTGAATTAGAACGGTTTTGCAGTTGCTGTTTTTCTACATTCATTCAGATCCAAATATAAGCATGCTCGAATCAGCGCATAGCCGCTATCCAAACTTCATTCTCAAAAAAGCGGTAGTCTTCTATTAACCCTTCCTACTGATGACTAGTGGCGTTATGTCACCTATCTTTGATTAATGTCGATGGACGTCACGTTGGACAGTGCATGTTTGTGTTGGAAGTTCATGGTGCCCAGAAATTCTGGTTGTCTGATCACACTTGTGTCAGGCGACTGCTGTTATTTCATTCATTCCGCTGAGATTTCAGCGCTGCCACCTAACTACTTTTCTACTCTCACATTGAAATCATCAGTGCCCAAAAGATAAAATGTAGGTTACATAGGCCAATTTGTGTTTAGATAGCTTCAGTGAAAATAGAAGCTTTCTTTCAAAAACTTTCAGTCGTATTGACCAATATTTAAAGGCTTTTACCGTTGCATAGAAGTCATTTCAGTATGACTTGTCAGAGAATAACTGATACATTTTGTAATTAAAAAACTTACGAATTATGGTGGCTTATAATATTTATTGGCCATGAAATGCTTTGAAATATCCTTTATGAGCTCTATCAGTAGTTTTATTCTTACTCATTCTGAAAATCTGTCGTTTTCTTTAGTTGATATAGTAAACGGATTTTTGAATTTGGGGGTTTGTGAGAATTTTGAGATATTTTAAGTTGGTTTTCATCACGGACTGACATTAATCTGAGAGACATTGGGAACCTGGGAGCACTGCACAGCTGTTTCGTCCTAGCATGAGACTCTTCATCAGTGCGCACCCACCACCCTTCCAGGAATCGAAACCAGGACCTTCAGGTCCCGTGACCAGCACGTTACTATTGAACCATTGAGTTGGAATCCGATGTTGCTCAGTGGTGACTAGCTCCGAGAGGTGATTCCTGAAGTTCCGATAAGAAGTCGTGACTAATGGGGCAAACCTGGTGGTCGTAAGCATAAATACTCAACGATGGCATTGGGTGATGGTCGCATTATGTCGTGAAGTGACAGAAGTTGGAAATATGGACCATTGAATTCCAAGCCAGTGTCTCAATGGTAACGTGCTGGCCATGGGACCTGAAGGTACTGGTTTCTAGTCGTGGCTGGGCGGGGTCATGGGTGCACACTGCTAAAGAGTCCCATGCTAGGATTGAACGGTTGTCCAGTGCTTCCAGGTTTCCATTGTTCCTCCAACTGATGTCATTCCATAATGAAAACCAACTTAAAACGAATTTTTATTTGAGTCCTTAAATTTTCCTCGTATGTTACCTACGTCTACATGAAGTGCTGATACGAGTGAAGGAACTAACTGTTATAGTTGGTTACTGTGAAAACTGTTAAGACAGTTTAGTGCGCAATCAACAACAACATAAACCTTTTTTGGTTGCTCGGTATTAAAAATAGTTACGATTCAGTAGTAACTGAGTTGAACATATAGTTGGACATATAAATGTCCAACTCCAGGTTAGCCTATAAAATGTAACTGGGTAAAATGTCAAATTTAGTTGTATTGTACTTGCTTATATATTTTTTGCCTTAATAGAATTACTTCTTGAGCTGGAAAACTACATTCCTTATAACGAAATGGTTATTACCTATAGTGCTTAACGCTGACACCATTTTGTTACTCCTAGTTTAAATCGATATGCTGTTACAATCTGTATATCTTATCATTAGTGTTTGTGGAGTTAGATGCTGTGTTTTCTCATAATTCTAACTAAGTTTTGTGAAAATTACGTCAAGCAAATATAGCTACTTATACTATCAGTACTGCTTGTTTTGGGCTAACATCCAGTTGCACAGAGATGAATAAAGTAAGTCAAACTACTATAATCCCGTAGACATCAAATTTACGTTGAGTCTCTGTAGACTAATGTTGAATTTCTGTAATCCATTTGTTCCTTCTATAAATGAGATTTCCAGAATTGTTTTGCTGATAAATGAAACCCCAAGTAAGCAATACTGTTGGCTTAGCTGTAAATACGCTTCATTCCAGAACTAATACTAAGTCATGTGTTTTTCATGATGTTTTAAAGAAAGATATTGCTCAAAAGTACTGTTTTTATGTTTCATAATTCTTATATTTAGTCACACTAAGACTTAAAACTCAAGACTATTTTGCTTTGAGAGGAAAATTTTACCACCTTTCCTTCTCAATTTTGTTGTAGTTATTTCCTTACCTAAACTATCTGCCATAGTCCATCTTAAAGGAAAATCTAGAACTCGTCTCAAAAAACCAAGTAGCAAACGAGAGAGTAGTAAGTTAATTTCCTGTATATTTTACCTAAAGAATATAAAATATTTTTTACAAGGGGACTATCTGATTACGTTAAATAATCTATCTTGTTGTAATCTTTTATCACCAACATTTCATGAGATTAAAACTACAATCGTATGCTTTTATAATTCTAATTTGATTTATTATGAAAGAATATAAGCACTGAGCCTAAACAAAACTTATCAGTCTTTCCAATGAACGCAGAATGTGAAGACATATTTTTGTAAACTGCTGGTTTGACTAAGTATACAAAGGGGTTAGGCCAAGCGAAAAGCATCTGAGGGATATCTGTGAAATCATCTACCGAAAATCTTTTAAGGATTACTGTCCCCTTAAGTTTTGTTCCAAAAATCATTTTAAATTTAACTGGAGATATTATCTGGATTGATGGCGGCAGACGTTAACCCAATAGTGAACACGGATAATGTTACTCTCAGTTTTTGTTGTTGTTTTTATGGAAATTTGACTGGAGAAGTGATGGCAATCGAGTGTTCCTTCTTTGCTCTTTGATTTCAACACAATAACTTTACATCTAGAAAGTAGCTTCGCACTCAGTTTTAAGATAAAAATAAGATCAGATTTTTAGTCCAAGAGCTAGTATCTAGATGTACAAGCAAATGCGAAAGTCAGGTGTAAGGTTCTAATCATCTATAACTGTCACCAAACACAGTTCACCGCAGAGTAGTAATGGCCAAATTTCAAACTTGGCTGGTAAGTGTTTATTAACCTTTTTAGTCTTTGGCAGCTACCATTTATTGATTAATTTCTACACATCATTCAGCCGCCTATAGGTGATTGCTTATCACGTGGTTAAATTGATGACAAAGTATCTGACCATAAAACTAAGTGTTATGAGTTATTAATAATATTAATAACCGCTTTATTCCAAAAACCATGTGTGGGGTACATTGTTGAATTTTCAACAGGTAATATTTCAATGACTACGCTCGCCGTAAATTATTTTTAAGGAGAAATAATTGTTGCATCTGAATAGTGTTAATTATAACGGTATTAAATGCAACAAAGTGAAATGAGTAGCTGGTGTTACGTTGGCATTTACTTTGAACTTGGGGATGAATACAAAATTGAGTACAATTATGGTGATAGTAGTTCAGTTAGCTAGTACGAAAATCTGTAATTTCATATAGATATCCTAGGAATAGTAATGTGTTGTACTTTTTTTCTTACCACGGCAAATGACAGTTTGAAAACATTTTGAAAAGCCATGATACATTTAAAAGATATTTAAAAGACTAAAACAAAATGATGGGGAAAATTTGGTGAAATATATTTGGTGGGAAATTTTTGTTAACTCAAGGTTTAAGCAGGCTGCTGGTCACTTATCACCTGATTAAATTAGTGGCAAAGTATCTGACCATAAAACTAAATGTTATGATCTAGAATTCTTGAGTTAACAGGATTTTCCTAGAAGTAGCAAGTACACATTTCTGATAAGTCCTAACAACAATAAGATCAAAACCTGTGAATTGACTGATTACTAACTAGGCATCTATGTAAAGCATAAAAGAAATTATCATCGTCATTCAGTCTGATGTCATAATCTTGGTCTTTTGTTCATACAGTGATAAAGATTGCATCCTGCAAACATCTAGCAAATAATGATGTATCGCTGTACTAAATTAAATAGACAATCCAGTGTGGAATTATAAACTACCACAGTCCCCAGGTTTCACTCATTTATCATTTTTTTATCTTCGTACTGACTTCCATCTGAATCTGGTAATGTTAAGTAGGGCAATCTCAACTAACCCTACAGTTATATCGGGTTCTATGTTGTTGATTTCTATGCTTTGTAAGTATTCCTATATAATTAAAACTTTACGAAAGATGTATTGGTGGTTCAAATCATCTTTCACTCAACTGATTATGCTCAAATATGTGGGTGTAAATATCTCTCTTCCCCTATCTTACTTATCACATATGTTTTCATGTGAGTTTATGTTTCACCTTTAGTTTGTCGAATTGCATACATACAACTATCTTATAGCAATCTACTTAGATTTTCGTTGCCTTTCTCTCCTAGAGTAATTGATTTATTCTCTATGTTGTTTTTAGAACAGAAAGAAGTGCTGAATGATACAATACAGGGATCGAATAAAGCTGTATCACCACCTATAACTGTTGTAACCACTTCACCTTCGCAATCAAGAGATTCAGATCCTGATTATCCACCTCTTCGTGTTCGAAATAACGCAGCACCTTTTACAGAAAGAAGAAGGAGTGCACGATTACTAAATAAAGAGGGAAATGACTTAGCGGCTAATTCTCAGCTTGACATGAGTTCTCCAGCACCTAAGTCCGATTCTTCATCTCTAGGTTCACCTGAATTGAAGTCGCCAACTTCAATTCTTCAAACGTCAATAAGAACACCAATATCCTTCCAGAAGCCTATCAAACCAACGTCTACATTTAAAAAGAGAAAATTCTTTTCTACTACCCGTTCAAAAAGGAATGAGCTCGAAAAGAAACGTTTTCAGGAAGCATACGAACTAGTCAAAGTTAAGAAAAAGAGTGTAAATCAAAAGAAAAATGGAACCAAAGCTAAAACCCAGAAAAATATGGAGCCTAAAAATAAGTATCAACGTAATCAGAAGTGATAGTCTTCGCAGTTGGTTTTTTGTTACTTTATATTTGGTTCTCATTTTCCTACCTGTCATTTAAATAGATAAACACTATTAAGGTATCTAAGATAATTTCATAGTACTGTTAGAATCAAGGATATCTATACCAATTGACTTCATATTAGACCAGTTCGTGATTCACTAGATCATCGGTAAATGAATTTGTTTAAGTTAACTGCATCTTTTCGAAGTCCAGCTGCTACACACCATTGATTGAGATGGTTGGGACATGTGTTACGTATGTCTAGTTGCCGTCTGCCTCGTCACTCAATGTTGGCCGAAGTAGGTTCAGGCTGGAAAAAGGCCCGAGGTGGCCAGACACGCCACCAATGTATGAAATCTTTGACCGTTGGTTTGAGCCAAGTGGAGCGATGTAGACTAGCCGATTGGGGTCGGCGGGACAAGAGAAACCAGTGGTGGGAAACTGACTGTAGGTGATCATATGGCTGAGAACCGATGTCAGTGACGCGGATGTATACACATATTATCCTCATCTTAACGACGCTATACCAAATCTCACCATTTTCTCATTCTTCCTTTCTCTCTTTTTCTACTTTATATTTCTTCATCCTGCAGTTCACTGCCTTTTGCTTGATGTGGTGATTGAGGCGTGGCAACTTGGACCGTTACGCAACAGTACCTGGTCCTATGTTGGATGGATGGATGGACATACCCCTCAAATTTTTAGCGTTTGTTTGCCTGAGGTTGAATATTACTATTACAAGAAAAACTTGAAATAAAGTCACGTTTTAAATATTTTTAGCTGGTACTACTTAAAGAACTGAAATCAAAAATGAAATGAATGAAATTTTAATCATAATGAAACCGAATTTCATATTTGAAGTTGATTCTATAGCTTTCTATTTCACTAAATTATTTTACGATCGACAGTGAGGCAACGTTGAACCTTAATCCTGCCTTTTGTCTGCATCCGGTGTGTAGCTGAAAATATTCAATGTTTCAATATTTATTTATTTTTAATAGATCTTTTCATTATTGAGTACCACTCTCTTAGTTTGCAACATTTTAAGTAGACAGATTTCACAACAGTAATTCTAACGTAGTTTTTTTGTATTATAAACTATACTCATCTTTTTTTCTGAAAACATTGAGACATAACACTTCATTTCGTAAACTATTCCCCAATACGATAATTATCTAACAATTGGTAATGCTGAAGATTAACTTTCAGATGCATTTTTAAATAATAATTATTTGATTTCTACTCTAGGAATCATTGAGAATCTCGAATGTGTGAATATTCGTTTAAAACAAACTCACTTTATTTTGTATTCACTTTTAATTCCTTCAAATTTAACAGTTAGATCTACGTCTAAGCATCTTCCAACAGTGGAACAAGCGGTCAATGTAGCAACTGTACCTAACTCAATGCCAACTGACAGGTTTGTAATTTAGTTCAGCCATGCTTAATTAAATTTATCATATTGACTAATACCTAACTTATTTTGGCCTTCACATTGAGAACAGAGTAACTCTTTTCTATCTGAATTTATTATCAGATAGTCTCCAAAAAATTATTAGTCGGCTATAAAGTAATTCACTGACCACTCCTAGGAAGTGTGTAACTCTATTTCTGCTGATGTATGTCGCTGAATACTGGAGTCATCCTGTTTAATTAAGCTTCATCAGTGACAACTTGTCGTTGTTTAGAAGTCTAATCTTTTGAGTCTCAACTAATAATTCATGGATTATAGCAAATTCGTCCATATGTATCTGAACAGTTGGCTAGTTAAGTTAGTCTTTATGCTATGTATCGTATACCTAACTTTACCGTTCAAATTACCCTCTTGTTTCTCCTTAACCATCTCATGTCCGACCTGCCTCTTTCCTTTTGTTTACCCCTTCCTCATTGTTCTAGTGTAAATCGTATCTACTTGGACTATTTTACGGTGATACCGTATCCTGCGTTGTTTATTTCCATCTGTTTTGTTTAACCTTTCGATGAATAAAATGTTTCAACGTTCATTCGCACATGATCTGTACCCAGTTTCTACTTTCCAAACAAAGAATATCTAAGTATTAGGGTGATTTTTTTTCATTGATGAGTCTTAGCTTTAACTCATTTTTCAAATTTAGAATCATCTCCTATTCTTCGATTGTCTTTCGAAGAAAATGTTCTTTTACCTCAATAGATAGTCAAATATATCATACCAAGTCATTACTCTTCAGAACGCTCTTTCTTTAACCTTGACCAATACAAAACTCTGCCTCCCCCCCCCATAATAACTGTCAGGAAACGATATCTTCTATTCTTACTTACTAATACTACTGAAGAGTATCCCATTCACTGGTAAATATCTTTCGTCTATTTATTTTTACAGTGATCAAGATTTTGATGCAAAAATTGTGGATCCAGATAGTGAAACTGTGCAGACAGTTGACGAAGATGTCATTTCACCATCCTGGAAACCGTCTAAAATAAAAAAACAGATTGAGCCAGTATGCACTAAATTCCATAATAAGAAGGGTTCATCATTAATCGTGTTGAGTCCACAGAATAAAGTAGATAAAGATGATCTGAGTTGCGAACTCTCTCGTAATCCAAGCAACAATTCCAGTGCGCCAAGTTTGTTTTCCATGACTCCTCCAAGACATTTTAAAACGGAAAAGAATACTAAGTCTACTCCAATTTCTATGTTTACTCCAGTCAATCTGATGAACAACAAAAATATAAAAAATTGCTATAACCGAGTAAGTTGCTACAATAATTTCATTATCTCATAACTCACTTTCTTTGTATAAATTCGTTGTTCACCAAATATTTTGTTGAGCATTTTGAATATCTAAGGTAGTCATGGTTTGACAGACTAGCATTTATACTGGGTGGAATAAAAATTTGGATAGCGGCCCGATTCGAACCAGCGACCTCCGGGTTTCCGACCCGAGGCTCTACCAACTGGGCTACGAGGTCCAACTGGCTGGACGATCAAGCGATAGTAACGTGTTACGAATTTACATGGTAGTCCGACAAAACCCATGGTAATCGAAGTGAAATAAAAATGTGGTCATCAGTCGGACCTCATAACTCAGTTGCTAGATCATCGGGTCGGAATATTTCCCCATCAGTTCAACTTAATGCTTAATCCTCCTGTTTTTCATCGATTGTTTGCTATGTCCTGCTTCATTGATTTAGCGAACAGACGGCTAACTATCCTATTTGTTCTGTCAACTATTTGCTATTTATACCGTAGGAAAGCAAACCTACACGTTTTACACTTGACGATGAATTTGTTTCGTGAATTTTTTGTTTATCATCTATCTGTAGGATGGTACAACTAAAATACTGAATGTACCTTAGATGATCCGTCTCCTTTCTGTAGTTAATGGTTGTATTTTAAATATGCAGTGAATACGACCGACGAACACCTTATCACTGGTCATAACTGTATATATTGAGAATGTGCGACCAACAAATGAGATGAAAAAGCAACAAGCTCATCTTTCTAGATACAGAGAAAATGGACAAAGCCAAAAAGCGTGGATGATATGATCCAGTTACAGCAAGTAAAAATAATCGATTGACAGACTAATATCGTATGGCATTATATAGTTGTCATTCTTGTTTTTCGGATGTGTAGCTATATGTTTTAATGTTTGTGGATATATCAGCGTTGTACTGGTTTTTGTTATACTTGATTTTTGTCTTTAATTATAAGTATACGAAATAAAAATTGAATTAATATTGTTGGTTCACATTATCCAGAAATTTTTACTGAAGTCACTGAAAGCGAATGAAACAGAGTGATGTATGATACATTTAGATCCATATTTTGAACCCCTTCGTAATGATAGCTAAAATGTGACTTCTCTACTGATAACAGTCTTTCTGGGCAAACACCTTGTTACGGCTGTCTTTACTTATATCTAACAATACGAAATCCTTTTAGAATTTGGCTTATCACGCGTTTCTATGAATTATAGAATCATGGTATGAGATTACTTTGCTTTAGTCACTTTCCAGTCGAATTCATCATTTAAAAACTCTCATAAACAAGTGCTTCAGTAAGGTTATTTGAAATGAATTATAGAGATTTGCATGTTTAAATTCCACATAAAAGTGCTAGTTGTAACTTTGTGTGCGACTACTAATCAAAAGTTTATCTTTTCCCATAAACAAATAAATACTGCTAAAAAATTTCCAATTTTTTGATGTACTGATTAAAAGATGATAAAATTGTAAACTTTGGGGATTTAAAGCTTTACAAATCAACTAAGTGACAACATTTTGAGGTGGTGATCTTTATTTTCAAAATTTTATATTTCGATATATTTCACCTATTCTAAATTCACTTTTATGTATTATTTAGTCACAGGAGTGCAACCAATCTCATGTTGTCTAGTCCTGAGTGCAGACCGAATTCTATCGATCATATTTGCAATGTGGCAACCAAGCTAGGAAGCTCAGCATCACGGTGCACATTAGTAGATGTTAGTTGGTTGGAGACAATTGGCAGGAAGCCCTGGACCTAGGTTTCGTGCTTTTTGGCACTCGTCAGCAAGGCGTATCTGCAACCTCGACGGAACTGATGTCCTATCTGAGTGCCAAAAAGCACGAAACTTAGGTCCAGGGCTTCCTGCCGATTGCCTCCAACAAAATAACATCTACTTTATTCACTTTTAGATATTAACACTTCATGAGCGCTGTATTTCTCTTACAGTGTTAATCCTTTTTTTTTATATCCTCTCTAAAGTAGCCTTTTGATCTCAATATTTTAAGTTTCTTTTACCTCTTAGTATGTTACTTTTGAACTAGGAATGTCTAATATAGCACTATTAATTCCATTGCAACTTGACGTTTACTGATACTGTAGGAAACTATTCACTGGTAAGTAAGCGACAAATAAATTCATATATTATCAACTACACATTTTATTCCTGAATGCATAAATGAGTTCTAACACATCAGACGCTGACATTTCATTGCCTTTCAAATGACTAACATTCATCACTTGTTTATTGAAGAATACTAATTGTTTATTTGTTCACTTTTTGGGTATGCACTAACATATTTTATATATAGCTACAAAAAGAAAAATCATGGAGTGAACAATCCCAACTTTTAAACGATACGGATGTGGAGTCAGGCAGGCGTATACTGTGTGATGTAGCCGAAGAATCGAAGTTACTCGAAGAAACTGTAGATCATAGTTACTACAATCGATCTCCGTTACATGACATTTCAAATAACGTAAGTGCTACCATACTGTTATTATGCTTTAAGATTCCTAGACATAATTTCACTGCTTCACTTTATCGACACATCACTACCTACATATTCTTATACTCTTCATCTCTTTTTGTATTTTAGTGCGATCTGCAACAATCAGAATCCTGTTCAGTCATGCAGTAAGTTTTTGCTTTTATCGCTTAATATATAATTACAAGACTTCTTGTCGGAAATGATGATCAAATCCATTATATTCCAAACGGTTTCATGTTATGCGAAAATTTCGCATTTATTTAGCAGTTTGAGTCAATCTTGAAAGGTGATTTTTTATGAAATGTACATCATTTGCTGTTCTGGTGAGATATCTGACTGTTGATTGAAAGGCTAATTCACTATCCATTAGTCAACTCTATGGCAAACGATTGTGACATTTAGCCATTGAAAAATATGAAACATGATGTCTTTTGTTTTTTGATCATGTCTATCTTTCTGGCATTACTGTGTAACGTTTCATGTTGCCGCAAAAAGAGACAGACAGACAAACAAAATCAACAAGGAACCTCACACACAGTTGCATCCACTCAAGTTTACCACACTTCACAGTAGAACACAAAGAGCAGATGGATAGAAAAAGAGTGATCAAAGTAGAGAAAGTTTTGTGAAAGCATAAACAAATTGGAGGTAAAGGTTTGTGCAAATATTCAAGCTTTAGAAGATGTCAGGGATTGAATACACCTCTACCATTCTGACCGATTTTCAGCCATGTCTACAACAGTCAGTCCTCAACCACCTACTCCTAGCGTCTCAACAACCTCAACCAGGTACTGTACATCTCCCCACATGGCTGAGACCAACAGTCAGCAACTTCATCGACTTGTCTTGGTCTGGCCTTCCGGAACCTCTTGCCAACCTAATCCTGCTTCCCCTAGTATGGGACGTTGAGGTAGGCGGTGGGTTGGCATTCAAACACATGTCCAAGCCATCCAGTCGACTAAGGTTCACCACCAAATCAATCGACCTGCCTGTCTTCCGTAGTACCCTTCGCCTGATCTCAACATTTTTCAGACGGTGATTCCACCGAACGCGAGCAATGTTATGAAGACAGCCATGATCAAAACTCTCCAACCGCATCATACCTTCTATTTTCAACGACCATGCATCATAGTTTTATAGCAGGACAAAGCGAACTGCAGCGCAGTATACCCTTCCTTTGATAGATAGTCGGATATCTTCACGGCCAGCACCAAAGATAGCGTAAGTTGGCAAATGCAAAACTGGTCGTCTGTATTCGAGCTGAGGTTTCGTCACCAAACAACCCATTCTGGCTAATGCAACTCACCAAGTAATTGAAGTGGTTGGCACATTCCACTACTACACTCACTACCCTTAAACCAGGAGTAACTGCAGGCCAGCCCTGAAGCGTCATCCTACATTTGACAGGCGCCAGTGAAAGCCATTGCAAACATACTGAGGTTTCTGCTCAACGTGTTCAGAAGACCCTACATTTCGTCAGCGTCTTCACCTAACAAGACAATATCCTCCACACTTCATATCGGCACATAAAGGTAGAAGACATCGATGATGATGATAAAGAAACAAGGAAAAAAGTATTCTAAGTTCCAGAACGGCCTGAAAAGAAAATAAGAAGGAATAAAAGAGCAGTGAAATTTGGTATAATGAATAAGATGAGGTAAAATATGAGTGTATATGCACCACTCTGGTCGATTCAAAGCCCTGCCATGTAGTCTGTAACCACGGGCTTCTGCTGTGACAGACCCAATGAGCTAGGTTTTTCAAATTACGAAAATAATTTGAGTTTGACAGTCGGTTGATTCTTCTTCCTAACCCCCAGTAATGTGATGTATATTACAGCAAGGATCTTTCATTGGATGATGCATTGACCACTTATCTCGAAGTAAAAAGGCTGAACCTTTGAACTACCAGTTCAGCTTCATCGCTCCATCGGCTACCCTCGCAACATATTTGCTGGATTTGTCTTAGAATCAAAACAGTACGATTCTTGTGGATTAGAATACTCCTGTATGTACGTCGGTGTTTTGGTGAAAAAATATCGGAAACATCTTCGAAGCATTTTGATGCTATGAGGAACAATTAATGAGCCCGTTTTGTAAGTTAAAATATACAAAGGTATCATGAAATCTGAACTTATCATTCTTGAAATCCTTATGGTTAATACTGCAGCTGCTAATTTGAGGTGAAGCACAGTAGTCATGCGAATAAGCACAACTTCTGTTCTTCCAAATATCAACCTTACAACTTTTGTCACTTCTCTATTTAGCCAGAAGCAAGTGCGCAGCTGCTATATATCCACCACCTGAAGCATCCATCACTAAAGGCATTGAACTCTATCTTACTAGCTTGCGCTGCATCGTGTGACCTTGATAACGAAACGGGTTCTAGCTCTCATTAGGATTCTATCCACCTCATCCATGTTTTTAATTCTTTTCTGGTAATCGTTTTGTCTTAATCTATTTCATCCAGTATGTGATTTGAAAGGGGGCAAGTGTAGCATAGGTGGTCAGTTGAACTGTTCCTCGAAGTGTTTCACCCACATTTCCAGTTGTTTCTGCTGCGATTGAATTTTTGACGTGTCCTTCTCCACTATTGTCTCACTAATCAGCTAACATTTTCACCTGTTTCCTTGATGAGTCTAAGCAGATGCTTTCTATCTCTCTAACCTTCTCTATCCATCATTGTTGGTGGTTATTGCGTAGACTTCTCATCAGTCTACACTTTAGTAGCTTCCACTCTTCCTTTGTGCTTCGGACTAGCGAGAATACTTTCACGTTCTTCTATTAGTTCGCGAGAGGTTGCTGAAATCCATTTATACCGTCTTATCTCTTCACGATATTAACTCTTTTTAGAGCTTTTTGTTTAGCATATCGGTTTTTTCCAGAATGTGTGATGTTTCCCACTTCAAATAACTGTTTACTTCCCTTCTCAATGGAAGTAGCCATAGTTTTCTCATCTTCGAGCTGCTCATCGAATGGTGTTGTGTCTAAAGGTTACTACACGCATTAAGGCGTATATAAGTGCGTCATCTGCTAGTTCGCTTGGGATTCCAAGAATATCATCTGAGTCCCTTTCTATCCGATTTTGATTTCCCGCTTGTGCGCGGAAATTTCCTGCTACGATAAGCACTGAGCAGCGGACTCATCCTTCTACTGAGTGGTCTCTCTAACCACAGAAGTCTTTGCCCTAGTTTCCTTAGTAAGTCCAGTAAAAATTCTACTGTTACCTATCACCGCTGCCTTTTTCATCTCTTATACCTTTGCTACTCAGCACTACTCACTGACTAGACTTCTTCTCAATCTGCCTTTGTGTTACTTCGGTTCCTTCTTGTGCTCGAAATCTGCAGGGAAGCGTTTGCGTGCCCTTTGTCTGTCTACTCACTTTTGCACTAAAATCACCTGCTATGACAACCACATCTGCGGGTTTGACTTTCAGTAGAAGGCTAAACGATTTCCTATACAACTCATCTTTCAATCCATCCAATCTACAGTTGGTGGATGTATATCCACAGGTTACGAAGAGACAACGGCGAGTTTCACTAATCCATTTAGCACCCACAGCACGATTTAACTGAATAGAGAACAAAGGGCTGTGAAGTGGGATCCAGTCGAGCAATCTGCCTTTTGTCTGAGGACTTAATTCTTTACCTACAGCTGTGAGACTTTAAGAACTAGAAATCAAATGACTTGAAATTGGAAGGATTAATTTTGCAGACTATCACATTTGTTTTAGTGAGGTTAGCAGGATAACCATACTTAGCTTCTTACGTCTTACAGAAACAGCACACATGCATGACCTGACATGCCAGAGTTTTGACTAGCCAGGCTTATTGACCGATTTAATAGAGGGTGCATACATTGGAAATTCTAATGTGTCATTTGACACGTGGTTTTAGGCGACTAGGTATTCAGTTCCGTAAACTAGAGTCGTTATCAAAGGCTACAGAGGTGGAATAAATTAAAATTGATGGATGATTATTGATTAAAAAACTTGAAGAAAGATTAGAAGGCAAAGATGTGGAAGGTTGACAGTGATCTGAGGGAGCTTGGGAGCTGACAGAATTGTGAAGGTGATTAACACTTTCCGACTACCAACATCATGGAAGGTTACTTCCGATAGACAGATATAGAAAACATTATTATTTCTACCTGACGTTAATGCGTAGAGGTTGAAGTTGTTTAAAGTATCTAAAAAAGAAATTGGATTAGTAATAATGGTTTATGGCCGCATAGTTCAAGGAACATCTGCTTGAGGCTGGTTCATATATGGCTTTTTTGGGAATTTAAGATTCAGCTTTCATTAATTTGAATCCAGTTGTAAAATGTTTACCTTTGGCACCGAAATACTACAGGAGTGAACCTTTCTAACTCATTCTTCCCATAAGGATGGTAGCATCAGCATGAAACTGCCAAATATCTACAAAAAACACCTTACTACTGCCACAACTCATTCCATTCTAGCACAACTTCACCCTTAAGCCCCTACCATATCGTAGTAATCTATACTATGACGGTAGCTGCTTTTTGTCTTGTTACTATCCAGTAGAACTTCCCGATAGAATAGACCGTCAAGGAAACAGGCGTTTCACCAGCATAACTGGTCGGGTAATTCTGATATACAAATCAAGCCACTACGTCAGAACAGAAGGTATCAGTTGGGACCACACGATTAGAAATTTCGAAGTTCAGACTTAATATGGTAGACACATAAAGCTTGTCAACCAATGAAGTGGCTGGACAAGTAAATCAGACTGCAAGAACGTCTCTGAATGTTTAAATTCGTGATTGAATTCCAGAGTCAAATGAATCTTGAACTCTATGTTTACAACTCATCAGGATATAACAACTTCACTTTATTGGTTTAACCGTATATTTAACTGACTATATTATCTTTTTTTTGATAATTACATACAGTCAATCCAACTAATATTTTACATTTAAATAACCAATTCAACAACTTCTAATTTAACATGTAGCTGGAATTTGTATAAATATGCTGTGATTAATTGCTTAAGAATATTTTTTATCATCAACATTCTAACCTACTCATTGTTATATATTTTGATAGAACTTAGTATCCTTGAATTCTTTACTGTGAAGTTTTACAGGTTGCTTCCTGTTATTGAGCTATCCTTGTTAATGTATCAGAATCCTGTTCTAAGCACAATATTCGTTATGTCGATTCTTACACTCATAAAATAATAATGATTGACTTTAAAGGTCAACTGCTGATATAACTAATTGCATTTGTTTATTTTATTATAAAAACCTACCTTCTCAGCAGAAATATGGAAACCTGATTAGTTATTCCAAAAGTTGATCGGGTGGCCTTTAGAGTCATTCTCAAAAATACTTAGAAAAGTAGAGTAGGTTTGAAGTCCACTCAAATCAAATCAAGTGTTGATATTTTGTGGGGAAAACCACCCATCCAGTTGAAGTAGAGAAGCCTAATTTTTAATTTTAACAGTTGCTAGAGTGGCCTATAAAGTCACCGAAAAATGATCAACCCTAAAAGGATGTGAGTGGCATGGTCAAATTATACCGAATGAGAATTATATATATATATATATATATATATATATATATATATATATATATATATAATATGACGAATGTGTAGGCGTTTCGCTCATTGCGTCACACATACCGATAAGTTCTATGCTGGCATTCGCAACAAGTTTCATCAAAATGGTATTCAAATGCAAATGACTTTTAGATTAACGTAAAATAAACTAGTTAAGTGATAATAATGACCGTTACACAATGTAAAAAACACATACAATTCATATTAACAACCTTCTCCATCATACATGCTAATATTGTCAGTCTCGATTAATCATAATGCGATCGAAATTATTTGAAATTGATTTTCGTCAGAAGTTAAGGCAAGTCGACTTACTATTGAAATTCAATGAATTTTGAGATACTTATTTTTATTCTGAAGCTTTTCGTTACTCCTTACAGTAAATCCTCAGCAATAGAACTCATAACTTACCAATTTCATGATGCAGTGTCGTGCATGTTATTGCTGTGATAAGGGACTACGTCTTCCAAGAAACCTCAATTATCGATAGGACTCAGAATGTCTATCCTCAGGCTGGACATAGGTGACCAGCCTAGTAGATTCAACGTTTAATAAAATTCAAGTACATAAATTCATACTTTAAAGTATTTTTGACTCCCACTGACCTACCCGTATCAACTACTTCATACTACTACAGTAACCAATCATTCCGGGTTTCACGACATTGAAAACTACTTACAATATATTAACTTGGACAATGAAACCTGGTAGACGTGAGCATAAGTACTAAACGATGAAATTGGGTGATGGTCAAGTTGTGTCGTAAACCGACAAAAGTTGGAAATATAGGCCATTGGATTCCGACCCAAGTGGTTCAATGATAACGTGCCGACCACGCAACCTGGAGGTCCTGTGTTCGACCCCCGGCGGGACCATGGGTGTGCACTACCGAAGAGTCCCATACTAGGACGAAACAGTGGCTGTCCAGTGCTCCCTGGTTTCAAGTGTTCTTCCAACTGATGTCAGTCCATAATGAATTCCAACTTGGAAATCTAGCAAATGTAACTGGCACGTTTAGCTCAGTGGTTATCAGTACGTTTTTTTTCATGAATCTTATACTATATTCGTACAATAATTCCAGGTGTGAAACGCTTTTACAACATATTTCACTGATTTCTGCACATGTGGATAAAAATATTCAAACTGTGAGTTAAACAATTTTTTTCGCTACTTTGTATTCGAAACTTTTTATTACTTAAAATGGATCTTTAAGGCTAAAGAAATTGAACATCCGTCAACAGCACTTATTAATTTCCCCTTGTCATCGATATAATTATTTTTCATATAGCAAATCATGTCTAACGGTCACTGTATGCCCCTTTTCTCTTTACAAGCTGCAGTCGCTGACACATATACATTATAAAAATTCTACTTCTGAGAAGTAAACGGTGCATGGAGTTGATGAAAATGTATGCTACCCATTGAGGTTGGCATATCGAAACCATAAATCTCTGCCATTAATTGACCACTGAATAGAAACCAATTTCATATTGCCTATTCTCGTGTGCTGGCTGAATTCTGATGGATCATTTTCCCATTATGGTCACCAAGCCAGGAGGGTCACCATCGCGATACAATTTTGATGGATGTTAGTTGGTTAGAGACAAACAGCAGAGTGATGCAGATTCGTATTTCAGTGGGCAGACCACTTTCCGTGGCGTTGCAGATACGCCTTGCTGACCAGTGTCAAAAGCACAAAACCTATATCCAAGGCTTCCTGCTGATTGTCTCTCTTTTCTTTGTAAATGATCATGCAGAGTGAAACATTCAAAACAAATTGAGAATAATTCAACATTCCCCATTGTGTATTCTGTTTCCAATTCTCATAATGGGATTTATAGGTTATAAAACTTATCTTCCCTTCATATGATTCTCGTGTGCGGAGCATTACCTCTGATAAGGTCATTCTGCATCATACAGGTTCTCTTATTGAAGGGAAAAGATATCTTAAGATGTGTAATAGGAGTATCTGTTCTTATCACTACAAAATCTGATTTTAGTGGCTATATTGTCCTTTATGCCATCTAACTTCGTTTACATGTATTAGACAGTACGAATAAACTGAATATCATGTCTGCGCTTACTGATCAGTATAAGTATTAAGACGATGTACAGCTTACTTTATGAAGAAGTTTTATTGCCGTCTGACAACTCTTAAGCTGCAAGTCATTCAACCACACGAATAAATGGGATATATGAGTATGAAATAAAACAGCTCATCAGATAAATAGCTCCCGATGGACTATATCCAGGCATTATCAAAAATCAGCTTGACTTATGAAAGTTACCGATTAGTCATTACATTTAGATCTAAAGTCAGCAGGCTAATCTCGAAGGTTGGTATGTTTCCATTTTGTAACAGACGATATTCTTGTGATAATCCAGGAGAATTAGCCTGAATAACACTGTTTCCTGTGGTTAATAATCTTTCAACATACGAGCCATACTTGAATACCTAGGAAAACCATGCGTATTTTTCCCGAAATCATAAAGTATGCTACCAGATTTCCACTCAGTTAAATCCAGCGACGCGGTACGCTTCGTATACTTTGATTGCATCGCACCCATGTCAACTAGGTCTGCGGTGTGGGTTTGATACAGTCTAGAGAAGTTATATAACAGTGACACCGATCGGTGTCAGTTGTTGAAAATTATTTTCCCTATTCCATGGCTTTTCTCGAAGGTTCGCAAAACTGCAAGCAGGAAGACTGGTCACTTACAACCTTGCATAATGGCGGTGATTAAGAATTACTAGCTAGATCAACCGAGATATTAATAGGCGCATAGGAAAAGAGTATAACCCTCAAAATAGTTTTCACCGATTATTACTCCAGTTTATAAGAAGAGGGGAAAATTCTATTGAAATAATTTCGTGTTTAATAACTCATCTTCCTATATATTGATTCTAATCATGCAACACATCACTTAGCACCTAACTTGGATACACCAAATACCATTCGTGCAACTAAAAATGACTATGGTGGGGAATTACTCCTATAGAATTGTGGGTAGAAAGTTATAAAGTATTTTACAAACGGAATATTTTTCCAAATTTGTTAGAGGAGAAGCGGCTCATTGGTTTATGCAGCTAACTATCAGGGGTTCGAACACCTCTCCGCTTACCGAGATTTTGGCAGCCAGGTAGTATAATTAGCCTTCATACAATAGGTGCGACTCATTGACTACTGCACGAATTTATACAAGATTATTGAGTGCATTCCTGTTCGATTTTCGTAATAATGGTTAAATAAATACGGTGCTTTTATTGTCATACTCATAGAACCATGTGTTTTTGAATGGCTAAGGGAAAAACAAGCCATTACTTTATTAATAATAGACAGTGGCTAGCAGTGGAATCCTGGACGCGCGTTTCACCCGATTTAGGACTCGTCAGGTGGATGTACCTGCCTCTTAGGCAATATCGAGGCATCCGCACAGGACCCCATATGCCAATAGAGACCGATCAATTCGATCCAAGCAACGGTGGGATAATACGAGCAACAACACTGAGTCATTACTTTGTTTATTTCTTCTCATCCTTATATGCACTTGAAGTAATGACGACTGATTTCGTAATCCAAATGTCTTATACTACCTGTCTTGATCAATAATATCGTGTAGACAAGCTTCTTTTACCAAATTGTTGCAAGTTTGCCTTCTACTTTCATATGTCTACCTTTTTAGCAGAGTTTGCTTTTTTGTTTTTGTTTGTTTATCGCAGCATGAACAACTTGGACAAAGGTATGATACTTCATTGTTACTATTACTTTTGAAATATACCTATGCTTTTTATAAACACCAGCAAAGTATATGGTGTATGCTATGTATTTCTCAGCCATAAACTTAAAAAAGTTTTAATCATCATAATGAAGTGGATATATAACATTTCTAAATCAGTAAACTACCGTTATTCTAATATTCGATTCACAATAAGGATAAATAGAATTTTGCACAACAACACCTAGTAGTTGTTCTTGTGGTTTGCAAGCGGAATGATAACGTGTTCACCATGAAATCTGTCTGAATGCCGTAAAACAAGTTTAGAATTAATCCTTTTGCGGAGTTTCAAGTAAGAATGAGACAAATATTTACTTTTTCTTAGATTTGAATGACTTCAGCAAATAGCATTTTGTAATGAAAATGTCTTCAAATATTTCTTTTGTATCATTTAACACTTTGCTCTACTTTGATTCAGGGCTAATTTATTCAGCAGCATACATTTGAGTATTACATATGTGTGAGGTCAATAAATTTATATTTTCATTTTCACTAGTCACCTATTCAATTTTATTTAGAGATTATTCAGTGTTTTACGAGTATATCTCATTAATTAATAATTAGTTCAATTTCTACTCTGTTTACTTAGGATTAAAACTACTATGAAGTATCTTGGTTGTATTGTGTTCTTTCAACTGGATTGTTTGATAGTGTAGCTTTCATCGTCTTTCTACACGACATCATTAGCACTAACTTCATTATGAAGTACTTAAAATAATACTATTTAGGCGTATTAAATTATGACTTATATGTGAGAATCATAGATTGTATAATTGCCATCATGAGTACATAAAACAAAAATATTTACTGATCTGAAAATAAATGTACAACTGATCCGATATTATAAACATAAAACTTGAACAGTTCCACAAAGAGTCAATGTATAGCTGTAAAACAGTTATGGTTTTAATTGACAAGAGAACAATCAATGTAGTATGAATACAATGAAAGCATTTAACGTTACTTTTGGAACCGAATTTCTGCTGACTTTTTTGTGTCATCTAGTTGATCCTTTTCTTAGCAGAAAGAAAGTAGGTTACACTTTAACATGCACTGGTAAAACAATTATTGTATGGATTAAATATTCACTTATCTCTCTTTTTCAATATTCTTACTAATATTCCGACTAAATAATTTCGTTTTTATTTTATCTTTTTCATTTTACTCCTATCTCGTCTTCAAATTAAAATGTTACTGAATTTTTTTCTTAAATTAGGCACTTAATTATTTTGATTTATTCTGTTTAATGTAATTTTAGTTGTAAAATCCCGACGTAGTAGGCTACAATGAAGACTACATCAGAAGGCAGTTAATTTAAGCGGATATATATATATTTTTTCGCTAAAATCCTTCCAGACGAAAAGTCTTAAAAAATGTTATAAGTTGCTTATACCTGGTTAACGGGACTTCAAGTGAACGTAGAGAAGACGGGGATGATGAAGATACCCAAACATAAACAGCATCAACAACAAGCACCAATCACCACTAACAGGAGAAGCTTAAAGGAAGTAGTCTCTTTCACCTACCTGGCTGGGCAGCATCGTTTCAACTACAGGCGACGGCGGCACAGACGAGGATGTCAAAGCAGCCAGGATCGGGAAGACAACAAGACAGGCTCTCACTAATCTCAAAATAATCAGTGTGGAGATCTACAGAACTTCACTCAGCATAGAGCGTGAACAAGATCTGGATTTTCAACACTGATGTCAGTCGAGTCAGTGCTTCTATGTGATGGTTCAGAAACTTGCTGTGTCACGAAAAGCTTTTCCAACAAATTACAGGCATTCATCAATAGCTGCTGCCTACGCTGGCTCGATACTGAGGATCAAATGGTCAGAATAATAAGAATAAGCAACAAGGAACTCTGTTTGGCAGCGAACCAGCCACTAGGAACCTAAGGGAAAAAAAAACAATTATAAAGCGCGCACATAGTGGTTTAACAAATAAATGCATTTTTGATATGAATGAGGATTTTTAATTTAGAGGTAGGATTCATTATAGACTGACATCAGTTGGGAACCATTGAAAATCTGGGAGGACTAGACAGAAGATTGATTTAAATATAGTAACTTAGGTGTGGCGTTTATGTTAATCGCTTTCTGCATCGCTCTCCCTGAATCAACTATTTCATTTTACCTTATAAAAAATCGTATATTTTCAACTATGAGGTATCCAGTTCTTCAGTTGAAAGTATGCTAATAATAGAACTATACGAGAGCAGCGAATGATTTTTAAGTGACCTTGCGTTCAAAAAGTTCCAAGATATGTAATTAAATCTTGTATATTTTAACTAGGGACTATAAAATATGTTCAGGAATCTTGTATGTTTTCCAAGCTTATCCAAATTCACATCAAATCTTGCACAAGAAGTGATGTGGGGATAACTAAGGCATCTCTGTGCATAACTTTTGTGTTCCTTCAGTGCAGGTAGATGGGTTAGTCATATCAGTAATTCACAGCATAGATATTTGTCTCAGTGTGAATTGCCGATTCTCAAAAACTTACTCATATGGAATTAATTTTTGACCGTAAAGTGTTGTACATTTGAATAAAAGTTCATCAAGCCTGTATTATCGTGATATAGTAAGCTTTCACTATCAAATTAAATTCCTATGGTTGTGTCTAGCAATCCTTAAGCAGTTGACAGTGCATTCCTCACCATCATAACATTGATCCTTTCAACAGTCAATGGCCTTCTCCTCATGCTCTCAACGTAAATAGTTAAACAATGTGCAGTGATTACGACAAAATTATCTTTTAGTTTGGTAAATGAAGGTAAATATGTATAGCTTTATCGCACTTTTATATAATTGCATTCCCTAGTTTTGGTTGCTTTTATTCTGCTTGAAATCATTTACAGAAATAAACATATTAAACGGTTAGTGATTTTGCAATATACCTTTTTGAAGTTTAAGATATTTTCTAAATGTTTCGTCTATATGCATTTTATTTCAGTTGGCGTTTTCTGAAAAAAGAACTTTCAGATTGGATGTCAAAAGTTCAGAAAAATAATACATCATAATACGGTTGAATCAACCTATTTCTACAATTTATATTCATCTCTTCTACCAAGTTTTCAGTTTTTGTTGAGTTTTTTGATAAATTTATCGGTTCGGTTCAGTCTTTCATTTCATCCTCTTTATCAATTTATCCGTTTCAGGTATTTCTTTGCCTTTCATATTCACTTTTTGCATGTTGATAATGTTGAATTTGTTTTGTATTTGTCTAGTCTATATTTTTGGATTCAATTTTGCCTTTGGATTAATATTCATTGTTTCTTGAATTATGCATTATTCAATGTGGATTAAATGGTTTCAATTAATTTGTTTAATTTAAAATATTTTGATACTGCAAACTAAATATTTTTAAGAAGAAGGCTGGTTCATCGTTACTGTGTGGAATTTGATGCCTAACGGTGGATCACTTCAAACTGCTGCACACACAGCAGCTAGGAGAAGGTAACACGATGATTAAGACAGTAAAAAATATAAACGAAAGTAAGAGGATATATTTAATGAATGGTTATCGGTCAACAGGACTGATTTACAGTTATGGTATCTATGTTGCTCAGTAAACGACCTGTGCTATTCCACATATTTTATAGATCATATCAGCGATTATTGACTGCATTAATTTATCCCTTGCTTTTTTGATCACAATGGGGCTTTTGCTTACAGGTTTCAGACAATATTGCACATTGTGGTGCGTAGTAACCACTTGCAGGTGAAACTTAACTCATCTACTACGTAGGTCTTAGCCGTCATACAAATGACTTGCTTCCGTATCTTACATAAAATGGAACCAAAATAAGTGGGTTAACAGCATGTAAGTAACACTCTGAAGGTGTGGGTGGTTAGAATCCATAGATTCATCATGCTGCTTTCCTTCAATGGCAGTCTCATATTTGTTTCAAAGAACAGGACTGATGACCAAGGTTTTTTAGCAGAGATCGTTTGAATAGGTAGTCAAAGGGGAAAAGGTGAAACTCATTGTCCCACAATTCTCACCTGATAGGTGAATACCAAAAAATCTAACCTGTGGAGTTAAAGAATCTATTTCAAAGCAGTAGTGTTCATGTGCTACATTTTCTATTTATTCAAGACAGCTGGATTTAAATTCTACCATCAACTAGGTGACTACTTCAAACAATTGCACTTTACAGGTATCATAGTGCCAGCTGAGTACTTCGATGTATACGTTTGGCATCTAGGCTGAAAGGAGGATCGTCCACTCGAGAAATGGGTATGATCGGTCACATCGAATCTTAAGGATCACTACTAGCGGCTTTTTGAAAAGCATCGCATATTTCTATTCGGCACTAACTTTCAGTGCAATTGTGCCAACTTGATGCCCTTTCTCTTCTACTCTATTTGGATGTCAAATAGATCACATGTCAGGTGCATACCGATGACGTTGGTGAATTTAGAACTATTGTTTCTCCTTGAGTCCGCCATTCGACTTTGGTCACATGACAGTGAGCTCTAAGTTGGTGTAGCGTTTTGGTAATCGTCGTGATTGTTGTCTCAAATAGATCAACTTATGTGTATTGGTTGTACCCAGGATTACAATGAGTAATCAATGCAAACTATATTCAAAACTAGCTTTCAAACCTCTGGTAAGAGCAAATAAACACTAGTTGCATCTTCAAGATGGCACAGTGAGTAAGTCTGCTTGCAGCTTCTACCAAAAAGAACTGAGTCTGTATGAGGTCATAACTTTTGAAGCACGTTGGTGTATTCAAGAGGATAGCAACTGCAGTGGTGTGCATAAATCCCTTGCATGACAAAGCGTACAGTGCTTTCTCTGAGATCATGAACTTTGTTATTGAAATCCGATTAGAAGCTGCATCTGATAACAGTCGAAAGCTATTCCAGCTCATCTGAGCAACTGACAGCAAGAATTCTGGTGTTACTAAGACAGATTGTGAAGCTAAGGCTTATTGACTTAGGTAGATGACTTTCAATTGATGGGTCACAGGTTAGAATACTGCTCCTACCTACCGAGGTTTGGGCAACCAGATAGTATCATTAATCCTCATACAATAGATACTGCTCACTGTCTAATGCACCAATGTGCACAAGGTTTCTAAGTGGATTTTGTTTCGAATTTTTAAAATAGATGCTAGAATGCTTAGTGGAACAGTTGAGAAAGCAAATTAGCTGGCTTACAGCTAAACCAACCTTAACTTCAGCTCTCAGTTTTCCTGGGTCAGTTAGCGCTAACATGCCTAACGAAGCTTACCTTTAGAAAGAACTCAAAGTACTAGAATCCCATGATGCACCCGGCTCAGACAAACCCTCACAACTTCCGTGACAAGTCGAAAGATCATAAAGTAGTGCCATTGCTTATCCTGATGCCGACCGTATACCTGTGACAGCCTCCAAAGTATTAATCTGCTACCCGTTACGTGGGAAATATTGGCTGCTACTATAATTTTCAGGCCATAGAGAGTGCGCGGAGAGCTGATTCAGAGGAACAGGTTGGGTTTCGTTCAGCTTGTAGATGGATTGATCACATGTTCATTTTTCAGTGGGAACTGGGACGCTGTACGTACCTCAGAATCACTGTTTGATGGTTGGAAGCAATCGATAGAAAGCCTTGTACCTGTACCCAGGTCTCGTGCCCGTTAGTAATCGTCAGCAAGGTGCAGCTGCTGCATCGAGTGAACTTATATTTCCTCAGAGATCTCGATCTATGTTGTCTGGCTCTGCAGTCACAGACCCCAACTCCCGTAAGACAGAACTAGTTAGTGGTTTATCACGAGTGTAACCGAAATGATTTTCCCTGTTCTTAAACTGGATAGATTCTTTCGATCATTTAGTGATGTGATTATACCGCTTATGGCTACCCTTGATTTGTTAGGAAGGGCTGTGCTCTGCAATTGTCTGTTAGAGGCTGGTGTTATTTAGAAGGTTGTTAGTACCTTGGAGGTTCTGTAAAAGAACACCTCAAACAGAATAAAGGCATACAATCACCTCTAATCGAGCAGTTGGGTTAGGCAGATTTACTTGATTTCGACAACAGGTGACAGTCTGAGACAACTCTTAGGTAGGTGCACGATAGTAGTCTACGTCAAAAACCAGGTGAAAAACTTTCCGATCTTCATTATGCGGATAATATTATCTTGCTATGCGAAGACTTATAGGTTATACAAATCGCACTTACTCAGATGCTAATAAGTGTCCTCAAGTATGGCTTGTGCTTTGAACGGACGAGGTGCAGAATCCTTTTACAAGTTTGGTAAGAATCTCTACTTCCACTTATCTTTGACGGTGAATCACCTTAAGTGGTAAAACCTTTCTCATACCTGGATAGTTGTATAAGTGCTAGTGGAGGTAGGAATGATGAGATTTTCAACCGTATTTTGAAAGCCAGAGTGGGATACGCCAATCAGGGTTACTTTTCAGGTAACATGGGATTAGCATTGTAGTAGAAAATTTTAAAATGGCTGAACAGAACGAAAGACGAATGTTACAATTGATCACAAATGCAAATTATCAGAAGTCCCAACTTGCGGTTGACAACCCAAAAAAACAAAGATATACTTACGACACAGCACTTAACAATACGAAATACGGCAGTTAGAAATTTAAGTGGGCAACACAACGAACACCGAAGGAATTTCCTCGGAAAAAAGCTTACCAGAGTTTCCAAAGCACTTGCAACGTAGGAAATAAACGACTGCGTAACCAGCTTGTCAAAACAAACGCTGAGAAAAAGTGAAAGCATTGCTTCGAAAAGTCCGGTTTTACAACAACATAAGTCCCCACTACATTGAAATCTTCGCTTACAATATCAGGATCAAGTGAGGAAACTCAAGAAGAAATATGGTTTACAGTCGTACCATTGACCGGATATAAAAAAGATCACACCCAGGCAACCACCAGAACAAAAAAACAATTAAAACCCAAAAGGTGGTGGGAGCATTGTTTTACTCCTGTCAGGAAAAAGGCGCACCACTGCAGTTATGAACAAGGAAAACTACACCAAAAAGGATTTGGTCAAAGACAAACTGTACATTAACCACTTGATGATATGAACCCTATTCAGAAGTTTGACAGCTATATTACCTAAACTAAAACTAAATAAACAAGACATTCTTGTACGATCAATGGTCTTATTTGCGAAGATCCTAAAAAAGAATCAGTTTAGAGAGCTTCTGAGCAAATTGAAATGCATTGTGGAGTCATGCGGGCATCCCATCAAATCCCCGATAGCGCTTCTGAGGGGATTAAGAGCGTTCACATGAAAAACAAAGAAGTAATGATACTCTTTGACATCAAACACCAACTGAACCACAACTGGCTTCGCATGCTATATCTCTCTTCGCCGACGACACGAGGTTTATGAAATATACAATGCAGCGTCCAAGTTGTATGGAGCTTATTGATCTGTGTCTAACAACATACTTGCAATTCAGTAGTAAGATATACAAAAGGAGGAAATGGACTCCAATGAGGTCACTAATATATGGATTAATTGTAGTGTAAGTAATGTAGAGGATGGAAGCCATCATTTTATGATCAAACGGAAAACTTGTATCTGCTATACGAACGATACTTTTGTTATCATTAAAAATGATGAGTTAGAAAGTAATCACCACTTGGTCAGCAATGTTCACAACAACATCAAATTCCCATTGAAGTAGGAATCAGACATCAAACTGCCATTCCTGGATGTTTCAGTCAGTCGAACCAGTGCCGGAAAATTGTAGACTCAACAGGAAGTCAACATATCCTGATCAAATCCTCAACTAGCGTAGAAGCACAACAATAATGCACGAAATCTGTTGTGTACACACCTTATTCAAAAGAGTAATACCATGTTGCAGTACAACAATCTGAAGGAGGAGCAGAGAAAATTACCTGTTATCTGTGCTAAAGACCCAAGCGTCTCCATCACAAGATTTCTGTTTACTTCATCATCAACTAAAAAAGTCATCCACGAAAATCAATGAACAGACCATTCTAGCATGATTAAAAGTACATCAAGGATTATAACGAAACTACTTAGGTCATTTGGAATTGATATCGACAAACTGTCTTCAAGCTACATAATCCACATCAAAGGAAGTCGCAGCCAAAATAGACAAACTGAATATAATTTACAAAGTCAACTGCAATAACTGTGATCAGCAAAACACTGAACAAGTAGTTGCCCTCTTCACCCTAATCTACATGAATTTAGACTCACTACTACATTTTTAAAATCCAATGGCTATTACTCTGCATCTTAACCATTAGTTAGTAGACTGTTTTCTTTCAGGAAATTAAAGTTGTGAGCAGTTAAGGCACCACTGAAATGAAATGGATACGTTCTATCCTACCCTAACTATTGTTCTTTCTCGTTTCAAAT